CTAACATGCTGAGACACAGCCAGCTCTAACTAATCAGGAATTCTGCTCACCTGCCTATTTGTCATTCATTTGTGTGGACACCGAGCTGCATCCAGATACAGCACTAGTGGCAGCAGTTTGATGTTGTGGTTAAGGTGCTGGCTTAGAAACCAGGAAACTGTGAGTTCTAGTCCTGCCTTAGCATGAAAGCTGGCTGCATAACTTGATCCAGTCACTGTCTCTCTCAGCCTAATGTACTTTACAGGGTTGTTGTGGTGGAAAAGAGAAGGAAGGAGTAATAAGCATGCTCATTGTCTTGAATTACTTATAAAGTGTAAAGGCAATCTAATACATCTAATAAATAAAATAAATAAAAGCTTTGTAGACCAGGCCAGGTTCCAAAGCCTTCCCTTCAGTCCTCAGCTATAATGATAAGTGCTCCTGGTATCTTTGGGAGCATGGTCTAAAGACACCTGGAAGAAATCATGGGATTTCTCACTTTCCAGGGAGCCTCATTTGTCCAACTAGTCCAGTCTTGTTCATGGCAACCAGCAACAGGAGCTATCCGGGCTGTCAGCCATAGACCGTCACTTCCATCTGCTCGTGGACATTCTTTGAAAGTAGAGCAGACATGGCCTTCTGTTTGACAAGCAGGTGCTCTGTCACTAACTGTGACATCTTCTCTCATTTCTGCATGCACTGCATGAGTGTATAAAAGCAAGTACCCCCATGTTTCCTCAAAAGTAAGGCTTACCCCCAAAATAAACCCTAGCTTGATTTTTTGGGGTGGGCCAAATATAAGCCCCACCCCCAAATAAGCTCTTGTTTTGGGGTGAGGCACACACTTAAAAATCAAGCTAGGGCAGAGGTAGGGGCGTGGAGCTGCCCCATGCACTGTGCAACCACTTACCTTGCAGCCAGGCCTCTTCTCGCCAGTCCACTTCTTCTGCATTGTCTTCTGTAGCCAGGCCTGCATTTCTCAGTCATAGGCCTTTCCAGAAGGCCTGAGTCACAGGCCTTTCTGGAAAGCCTCTTCAGCCAAGAACCCAATCCATAGCTTGGTACTCGGCTGCATAGGCCTTCTGGAAAGGTCTAACTGTGAAATTGCAGGCTGAAATACAGCTGCAGAATGAAGCTGCTCCTCTGGCCCCAGAAGAAGTGGATCTGTTGGGTGGGGCTGTCGGTTCCGGAGGTGAGGCATCCCCTGAAAATAAGACCTGGTGCCTCTTTTGGAGGCAAAATAAATAAATAAATAAATAAATAAGACCCGATCTTATTTTTGGGGAAACACAGTATTTTTTTTAGAATGCTTTCAACTTCTTTTGTGGTTTGCATAGTGGCCAAGTACATTCATGGTGAATCTATGACACTGTCACTGGGAAGGCAGACAAATTTATCTATTAAATTTATTAAATTCATAACTCCCCCTCCCCCTCCCCTCAAAAAAATCTGGCTCTGAAAAGTGACTCTCTTGTGCATTTCCTGCACATGTAAAAGTAGTTTGGGACAGGGACATACATGAACTCAAGCTTTCCTGGCACTTTCTACATTATGTGTTAACAGAATGCTGTTAGGTATGTAAGCCCACTTATGTGAAGGGCAGACAAGCTCTAAAATTAGAACACAGTTTGGTGGGATCCCTCCAAGTACACTTTCCAGGATTGCACTGTGGCTTCCACAAGGAAGCAGCCTCTAAAGTGTGACCTAGAAAGGCTAGCCAGGATATCTCCAGATTTTGGTAGCATGCTGGGCACAAGGCCATCCACTGCTGTTTCTCCTCCTCCTCCTCCTCCTCATTGCAGCTAGATACTTGTCAGAAAGACTGCCAGCAGAGCCAGTGGAGCCAATCGCTGAAAGAGGCGGTGGGCTGCCCTTCACCGGATGCATTCAAGCAGGGATTGAATGGCCATCTGTTGGGGATGCTTTCACTTGAATTTCTGCTCTGGGCAGAGCACCGTGCTCAGTGGACTAAATAGCCCCTTCCAATTCAGTGATTCTCTGAATCTAAGGGGAGGTGATGACAGATGCTTTTCCTCCTCAGTTCTGCTTTGTTTAGAAAAGGGGAAGGAGCAAGATCACCCAGAAACAATAAGGTGCCTTCTGGTGGAGTGGGAGGAACAGAATCAGATTAAGGGATAGTTCACTTCCATTCCCCCACCCCCTTATATCAAAATGAGCCAATCTAGTGAGCTATAAGGTTCCAGCTAAAAGAAACAGGGCATTGCCTAATCATCCAGTCACTTTCATGGCTGATGCACAAACAATGTACAGAACAGATCATAATGCAAGGGTCCCACCTCCATTTGAAGTCAGTGAAAAGTAGTTTAGAGCAAAACAATAGTAAAACTGCAAGTATAAGTATCTGAATACTGGAAATAGTAGAGCTGGCAGCCAAAACGAAACAGAAAAAAGAATTGCTACTAATCTTCCTTCCATTGAGGACCTGTATACTGCATGAGTCAAAAAGAGGGGTCTGAAAATATCTACAGACCCCTCACATCCTGGACATTAATTGTTTCAACTTCTACCCTCAAAACAATGCCATAGGACATTGTACAGCAGAACAACTAGACAAAAGGACAGTTTTTTCCCCCATGCCATCACTCTGCTAAACAACTAATTCTCACAACACTGTCAAACTATTTAGTAAGGCTGTATTACTATTATTCTTCTCATCTTTCCTATTACCTATCTCCTTATCTACGTATGACTATAACTTTGTTGCTTGTATCTTACAATTTATATTGTTTTATTTAGTTTCCTAATGTGATTTATGTTGTTTGCTTATTTAGTATCCTATGACTATCACTAAGTGTATCTTATGATTTATGATGAATGTATTTTTACAATGACTATGATCATGATTTATCAATTATTGCTTGTATCTACACTGAACGTTTCTGCACCGGAGACAAATTCCTTGTGTGTCCAATCACACTTGGCCAATAAAGAATTCTATTCTATTCTAAAAAGAAATCATGTTTGTTTAAGGCAACAATACGTTTCTTCATATTGTACTTACAATCCGTTGATCTATAGTTTTAATATAATCTATTCTAAACCTAATCTAAAAAAAGGAGACAATAATATTGAGGATAGTTTGGCCAACTCACCTTTTTATCCTTCTCTTCATTTCTTCCCTCTCAAACCTTTCTTCTTTACTGTTTTTTTGCAGCTGAGATTTTTCACAGATGCAGGATTATTAACAGATACGAACATGTGATAAATATATAGAAATAGTTACAAAAATCAAAATAATTGTTTAGAAGCACAAGTTGAGTTCCGCCATAACGCAACTTGCAACTTGTTGGTTTAATGTGGTGTGTGATTCCAAACAAGGAAGTCTGTAAAACTTGCTGGGGGAGGGGTCAGTAAGATGGTTGAGGATCTTTTTATGGTGCAGTGTTATGATGGTTAGCCTAGACCTAGAAACGTGCATAGAGAGAGATATAATGGTGACTTCCACTGTGGCTCATCCTCCTATAATAAGTAACAGCTTAGGCCAAAGATACATTGATTGCCTGATTTGTCTAGACAGACCTGAATAATTTAGATTGACACACATTTAGCATCAGATCTGAGATCTCTTCTGCACCATGTTGCAAATGGATGGCCATTTGACAGCCTGCTTTTGCAAGATATTTGCAGACAGGCTTTTCAATAGCCCCTTGTTTCCTGCATGTTATGTCCTGTTATTCTGCATCTCAGGGAGGAAGGCCTTCTTTTTGCAGAAGCCTTCTCCTAGGATTAGGCGAATTAGGTCACTTTGAGCAGATTGTTGTGTGTTACTCATATCTGCCCAATTAAGCGGCCATTTGAATTTTTACAGGAACCTGTTGGAACCTTCCTTTTACCAATAGAGAAACCTCTATATAATCTCAGAGCTACAGATCCCTAGCACCATTCATGTCAATTGAACTCATTAAAAAATGTAAAATAATAGAATAACAGAATTGGAAGGGACCTTGGACCTCTTCTAGTCCAACCCCTGCCCAGACAGGAGACCCTATAACATTTCAGACAAATGGTTGTCTAATCTCTTCTTAAAAGCATCCAGTGATGGAGCATCCACAACTTCTGAAGGCAGGCAATTCCTCTGATTGTTCTAACTGTCCTTATTTCTAGATTGGATCTCTCCTTGATTAGTTTTCATCCATTGCTTCTTGTCCTGCCTCCAGGTGTTTTGGAGAATAGGTTGCTCCCTTTTCTTTGTGGCAGCCCCTTAGATATTGGAAGACTGCTACAAACATAATTTCTCATAGATTAAACCAGGATTAAAGTGATTTTTTAAAAATCCCACTGCTGATCATTGGGATCAGATTGTCACTTCCATACAGCATTCCCATAATCTGTGCAAGAAATTATGGTGCCTAAAGTGAAATATGGATCTTTCACAAGTGTTTCATGGACAGAGATAGTGGAAGAGCAAGAACAATCTGAGGACATTGGCAGCAATTGCTGTTGGCAGGAAGATCCAGGCAGGATTAGGAGTAGGGTGTACTGGTGGGCTATGCTAATTGGGACATCATCATCAGCATTAGTGGCACCCAGTGGTCAACATTGCACTTTGCCATTGCAAAAATAATTTGGGAAGGCTGGCAAAGGAAAGGAACATATTCCACAGAGCAAAAAGCTTATTCCTTCTAATTCAGATCAGGGGAAGCCATAGATGCACATATGATTATTAACTCTTTTAGGAAAGGAAGCAAAACAGGGGTCCCAGGTCCAGCAATTATTTTGATGATCAGTTTTTCTAAAATAATACACAAATTGTTTGCTTCAGAGTCAAGGGCCTATAATGTAAAACAAAAAATACTGGAACAAGTAGAAAACATCACATTGAAGCTCAAATAAAGGAATGATTGGCCAGTACAAAATGTTGCAGTCAAGACTGAACAGGTTGCAAGAACCTACAAATTAGCACACGAGGCTGTCCCTTGCCTCAGGTCACTTTTATATTCCCAAGTTTCTTCCAAAACAAAACCCAACATTCACAAAGCCAGACAAGACACGTTCTATAGCAAAAATGTTTAATCTCTTCTTAATGTGCGTGTTTATTTACAAGTACTAAATCTGAAGAACATTAAAATAGTAAATAGCAGGATATTTACACAACCAAAGGGTGCCGACCTGCCATACTGGCACAGTTGCTTCAAGTTTGAAACAATCACATAAAGTTATGTTTTTTTTTTAAATTTTACTATTAAAATTCTGTTTTTTATGGTTTCCTCTTTGTCTCCCCTCCCATACCACCCCCTTTCCCATTTCTTAAAGGACAGTTAACTGCAGCCTTGACATTCCTTAGAAATAAGTGTGAGTGGTAGCGCCCTACAGTGCTGGAATATATATTCAGCCCAAAGAAGTACCAAAAGTGCTGAAAAGAGGAACATCAAAAGGGAAAAAGGGGAATAGTTCACTCTCTTGTCCAGTGTACTGGAGAGCTCCCCTATTCCACTTTTGGGAACTATCCCTAAACCTTCCAGGTCCATGGAACTGGAAGTACTAACTCCCTGTAATAATTTTTCTTGGAGTACATGTGCAAAAAGAACCTGGGATAAATTTGTAAACCCTGCTCCATGGAGCTGGTGTTTGTCCTTCAGGCTATCTGTATGAAAGGTGAAAGTAGAACCAGTGCCATCTACTCTAAGTAAACAGTCCAGAGTGTGGAGCTCACATGGAAGTTGGTGTGTGTTATTAGTTTTCTGTAATTTTGCACATTTTGAAGACAAGTGATTTGTTATTTGCACTCGTTGAGGGATGTCAGAATACAATGAACTTTGAAGAAAAGCCAATGGTTTAAGGCACGGGTATCAAACTCACCATATCACGTGATGTGTCGTGACATATCACGACTTTTTTCACATTGCCGGAAATGGTGTGGGTGCAACCAGCCCACGGGGTGGCAGTTTGACACCCCTGGTTTAAGGGAACAAAAAAAAACCCTGTCTTAAATTTGCTCTCTCAAATCGTTTTCTCAGAACTGGCTACCAAGACTGTGCATTTTGAGATCAGATCATTTATCAATCACGGTGCCACCTTCAATGTTTTTCTACTGAGTTGCTCCTTCAACGCCTTCCCATTGTGTCCTAAAACTGCATTTATATTTAAGAATGCAAGGTATGGGAGACTAAGGGAAGGAAATGAAATATGAGGAAATTTATCAACAATGAATGTAAAACCTGAACTAGTCCCTGAAGAACAAAAAGTATTTCATATGCATCTTTTCCTACAAGAGTATTCAAATAATGGAACATTTATCAAGTCATATATGCTGGAGTGGACACTAGGTTTATTGGTAGGGAACCACAAATAATCAATTGGCATAATGCTTAAGTGCAATTTTAAGTAGTGACATGATAAATATCCTTTTTTGTTTCTGATATTTGATGCTTTTAGGAATCCTTCAGTTAATTTTACTTAGAAAAATGTGTTGGCATATCTGTCTGGATAATCTCTATTTATTCAGTATCACTGTTGCCATTTTAACATTCCACTGTTTGCTTTTGAAGGATTTTTGTAAAGACATGTTAATCCAAGATTTTCCTGCTTATGTATACAACTTTCTCATGTGCTCATTTGAGCATCAATCCAAAGGTGTATCAAAATATCTTACCTATTGTAATGACATGAATAACTACAGTTAAAATAACTGCTTAACTACAGAAACTTCTGGGGATTCAGTATTGCAGTTTCTGACATTATCTTGGCAGAGTATTTGTATAACTAGGTGCATCAAGGGTCAACATAATCTGATGAAAAATCTTAATAAAATATTTATACTTGGGTAAAGTAAATTCATTCTACCTCTCCTCACTGTTAATCCCCACTCTTAATAGGAAAGAAACAATAAACAGTTACATGAGAAGAACAGACCCTCAAGAGAAATAAGTGGAAATAAGAAAGGACAGCTTACACAACATCAACAGAAGTGAAAAGCTAAGAAAATCATTGCTTAGGAATACAAAAATGGTCCTACTGAGTAAGATGAAAAGTCCATGTAATCCTTGAGGAGCTAACCAGATGTTTCAAAGAACTGCACAAGCGGTTTTTTGAACAATCCTCAATCCATTTAGGAATTTTGGGTTATCAGAAGTATGCCGACTTTCAATATACAGTAGTTAAATAAAACAGGGTAGATCAACAACAAAGAAGAAAAAAATGAAAATCAAACACTCACAAAGATGCCTAGCTTTTTAAATACTAGGAAAATCACTTCATAACTTCATAAATTATGAAATTGCTACATAAGCTAACTTTGGAGGGCATTGCCAACAATGGACTCATTTACTCACTAGAAACAAAATGAGTGATGCTATCAAAAAGAAAGAAAGGAAAAAAATGGCTTAATGATTTAAATTTTTTTATTTTCCATGGACACTAAAAAGGAATGTCAGTATGTTGACCTAGTAAGTTCTGCTCAAGTGGGCACTATGACTCCACATTTTAAAAACTTTCAGTATAGTAATATCAACCTTCGCCATGTATTCAATGAACTTTTAGGATTGATACTGAACCATTGTCAGGTGAGATGTTTATTTAAATAATTTTGTATGCAAAAATACCAACCTGCTTAGTATTGAGAGGCTGGGAGACACCAAATTAAAAAGGGCAACCAAATAAATACAAGTTACATCTCCAAGAGCTCCATCGGTAGGCAAGGATAATCAACTCTTTAAGTGGTGACATCAAGTGAACAGCCAGTCCTCAGAAGTATAACATAACTATTTGCAGTGTCCTAGGTAGAGTTTGAAACTACAATTAAACAGGATTAGAGCTGCTCCATTTATTTATTAGAGCGATCCCTTATGAATCTGACTGTAAGCCCTTTGAAAATACAGGAGGAATGTGTGGTCACACAAATAATTGTTTATTTTCTGTGAAACCACAAGCACCATGGTGAGAAAGATGAGCATCTGGGTTCAGTTGCCTACTTGTTATATATTTTTTTCCTGATAGTGGGACAGCCACTGAGCTTCTCTTTTGCCTCAGGCACTGTCTGGAAAATGGCTGGCTCTATTTAAGTAGCAGACAAACTGATAGATAGAACCAGATAATTATACCTCCCTCATTCACCCTTCAAAAAACAGAGAAGCATCACTCAAGACAAAGCAGACATGGGGAGGAACAACTTTTTTCATGCCCCATCTGAATATTGCTATAATGGATCTATCTTATGTCGAGTGAAGCCTTTGCATGTGAAAAAGCATTCACACTGATTAGTTTATTGCTTTTCAGCTATTTTAACTGAAGTTGTTTGTCCATCTGGCAGAGAACCTAAAAGATACAGAAAAATGTCGACTTTTCCACACACTTCATCATTACTAGTTTTTTATTTTATTCTATTTGTTTATATTTGGCAAGGACTCCTTTGCCCAGGGGTTAAATCATTGCCACAGACCGATGATAATGGTTTAGTTGAATCAAGGCCAATAATGGGAAAAACAAGCTGTTTCATAAGCAAAAAAAATTGAAAAAAGAATAAATCCCCAAATCACTTACTTAATTTTGCATTCTGCAGGAACTTCATGTAAATCCAATATTGATTTACTTCACAATCAACCTAACATGGATAAGGAAACTCCAGCATGGCTTTATCAAAAATAAGACTGTAACACCAACCTGATCTTGGGGATCAGTTTAGTCATAATGGAGACGGCGTGTATACAGTATAGTCTCCCTTGGCTTTAGGAAAGTATTCAGCAAAGAATCTTATGAGATTTTAGTAAAGATGTTAAATTTGGATTAGGCTATCCTATCAGCTAGAGAGAGCTTTAACTGAATGACTGCACCCAACAAATCTAATTGGCTAATTGTTTAGCTGGAAAGAAGCATTGAATGGTGTTACAAATGCTGCATTTCAGGATCTGTGCTGTTTGACTTAATTATATATGACTTGGATGAGGGGTAGAAAATATCAACTTTCAGAAGACACAAAGATGAGGAGATAACAAATACTTCACAGTCAGGAGGATTTTCATAAGCTGAAATGAGTAGAAACTAGCAATGTGAACACGAACATGGACAAATGCAATGTTTGTATAGGACAAATCAAAGGTATGAAATATAGGAACTGGGGAACAGACCACACTGGGCAATAATATATGCAAAATGGATCTGGAGGGATCACACGCTAACATGGCCAACAATGTAATATAGCTGCAAAATGAAAATAAAAGCAAATGCAATCTTAAGATTGTAGTATCAACAGAAACATGACAACATTAATAGAATTCCTCCCATCTATTCAATATTGGCATCTAAAATATTGTGTCCCATTCTGAGTACTCCATATTAGGGAGGATATTGACAACCTAAAGGACATCCATAGGAGACAAACTAAGGTCTGGAAAAACATATAAGGAAAAACATATAAGGAATGTGTTGGACATGTTTAGCCTGAAGAAGAAAAGAGACATATGACTGTCATACTGAAGTTTTTGAACAGCTGTCACATAGAAGGCAGGGGCAGAATTGTTGTTCCAGGATGCAAAATGAAAGATAAAGGATTTATTTGACAGGTAGATTTAAACTGAATAAATGTCCTAATCTTAAAAGCTGTTCAGTAATGGAACAGCTTGCCTTTCTTTGCTAGGGTTTAAACAAAAGTTGGATGGCCATAAAGTAGCAGTCTGTTGCAATGGACAGTTGGTTGGTTGGATGAAATGAAATGATCTCCAAGTTCCTTTTAAAGTTTAAGCACTATGATTCTAAGCAGCTCCTGAAAAAGATATGTGACTTTTTAAAGAAACGGCTTCTTTGTATTAATCAAAACAGATGAAGATTCTGATCACGTGAAACCATAAAGCCAAATTTGCTTCTTTGTGATCCATGATACAATTTGTAAAATGAAAAGATTAGCCATGTTGAGGAACATAAATCATATAGCATTTATAGTCCCAAGTAGACTTCAAAGTCTGGAGAGGTGAACCTCTAAAACATTATGGTATCCTTCATGTGCAGCAACATTTAGCTGTCCTTTAAGACTTATTTGAGTACCATTTTCCAGAAATAAACAATTTACATTTTTTTTGTTTCTTGTACAAGAAGTGACAAATTAAGTCCAAAATTAAAAAAAAGTCTAACCAAACCTCTAATATTCAACACTTGCATTTTTTTCTTTTGAAAAAAGATTAACTCAGACTAAATTCTATCACAGTCATGCAACAGCCCACAGGTCTTATGGATCCAGAATTATCTCAGGACTCCACAGATTTTTTTTTTTAGTTTGTTTTATTTTATTGTCTTCTTTTCCTCCTCCTCCTTAATTAAAGAAATAATTAAAAATAAAAAGTACAAAGTAATTTGAGATGTATATTCAAAGGATTGTTCTATTGGTGAGGAATGTTAATATGTTTTTTTTCCCCAATTTGGTATTTTCCACTGTTAGTGTAAAAACCACATTTGATATTGTTTCAACTCCTCCAGTTAATTGTACAGTTGCCCCACTGAGGCATAAAAAGTAGATAATAACATTTTGTGTGCATATACAAACACACACACGAACACACTCGCACACACAAATATCATATCTGTCTTCCACTTATTTGGGTAGGATCAGGCTTGATATGTTTTGTAATACCTTCTCTTTCAACATTAGGTAGGCTGAGAGAGCAGCTTAATTTATTGGTACTTGACAGGCAGATAGGTGAAGACTGAAAATTGGGTGGATTTGGTCACCTGAGTTGAATTAGGGTAGTGACTTCAACACACTGGTAAATTTAAAATAATAGTAAAAAGCTTTACATACAGAATGGAACTGAATGTCTTAATGCAAAGAGTGGAATATTTGATGGAATGATGAAGAAATAAATGACAGAAGGGAAGGAAAAAGGAAACAGAAGTCAGGAATAATCCCAATGAAAGCAACATCACCACTTTGGTTGTTAACTGAATGGTCATAAATCATTTTGACTACCTGTGTAAAGGCTTTGCTTTTAACTGAGGATACATTCTAAATCAGGGGTGTCAAACTGCTGGCCCGCAGGCCGGATGCATCATCCGGAAGCTGCGCCAACTCCATTGCTGGCAATGGCAAAACCGTCCCGATACGTTCGCGACGTCACGTGATGTCGCAAGTTTGACATGTCTGTTCTAAACGAACTGTGCCAAGATAAGACAAAGCAACACACATTCCATTCTAAAACATTACAAGATACTTTGGAAATCTCCATGGTAGCCATAAAGGAAGCCTTGCCTTTAATCATATGGCAAGTAACCAAGACTCTCTGCTCAGTTTTTACAGACTTTCTATTGTTTTCCAATGTTGGCACTTGTTTCCTCTGGTGATTGCTTGCTAACCAACAACCTCAGAATCATCTAATGCTCAGAATCAGGGTAGTAAGGAATTAGAATTTTTGGGTTGCAAGAAATAGGAGTAAATAGAAAGTAGGTGTCCAATTAGGAGAGGGGGGAGGGGGCAGTGACCTTTCTGGTACTTTTCTGCTAATCTAGGTACTAACATTAAATGCAAGCAGACAATCCATTGCTGTTCCTATAGAAATTATTATTTATCCACTGCCTAAAGAAACAGGATGGCAAGGTAACCGAAGCAAGTTATAATAAACTTGAGTAAGAATATTGTGTACCTGGTCATAGATCACTTAAAAGTTTCCAACAAGGGAGCAACCATCCAAACACTTTCCTGAGAGATCATAACTGACCACTGATATCAGCACACAAAACAGATCCTGAATGGTTGGGCTTCCATGCAATTAAAGAGCCACATTTTCTCTTAACTTTCTCTTACCTGGGCCAATCTATCAATCTAGCTGCTATCATGTCTATTTCTTACAGAGTATTTTGTTGGGCACAAACAAGACTTGATTGCAGACTCAGTTTTGGTTGCCTAGTCATTATTTCTTGCATTAAAACATGGTTGCCCAACTTTTTGGCTTGCCTGGGCCATCACTGAGTGAAGTGGAATTGTCTTGGGCTGCATATTAAATATGTAATACCGTTAATGCATATGTTACCAGCAACGTGTGACAAGCTGGCACTGTATAGGATGTCTAGGAAATTTACAGAATGTGTGACGTTTCTCTTTTAAGTATATCTATTTTTATCATAAAAGGTAAAATACAAAATAGGAAAAACAAATGAAACATGAGAACAAAAGAACGTGTGATGTTTCTCAGCAAAGTATGAAATCTCTGTGTTATTTTAATACACTGTATACTTTTCCTAGATATTGTATAGAATATCTAGGTATTATGCAGAATGACAAGAACTATTTAAGCAAAGTATAAAAAGAGAGACATGAAAAAGGTTAGAGTTAGCTTAAGCTTAGGTTTAGGCTAACCCTAACTCTAACCCTTTACTGGAAAGACTTATATGAAAATGAAAGAAATAATACAAAATGAAGTTTTTTTCTTACTGGAAAAAAAGAAGACAAAACAAACAGTACTGACTTACTTGTTGCAGCAAGGAAGGCTAGAATGGCATTTTAGCAGGAGTATTTTATATTTTGCCAGTTTGCCTTTTGGCATTGCATAGAATGCCTAGGAAATGTGTGAAATATTAAGCGTTTCATACTTTGACATCCCATTTTTGGCATTCTATAGATTTCCTAGCCATTCTATAAAATGCTTAATTTCATCCATTGACAGTAACATATACAAATCACATAACAATGTGCAAGGTTTATGAACTTGTGGGGCCCCACTACTAACTGTCCAGGGCTTCAGGTAGACCAAGAACCACAGGTTGGACAAACCTGCTTTAAACTTGAAGCCTGGTTTTGTTTTTGGAATTAGCCTACTGAAGATATGAGGATGTTATAATCAGTATTTGGAAGAGTTGCATGTCCATGAGCATACTCATTCTCTCTCTCTCTCTCTCTCTCTCTCTCTCTCTCTCTCACACACACACACACACACACACACACACACACACACAGTCACACACCCCTACATACATACACTTAACATAAAAACAATGTTGAAACCACCATGCCATACTTATCTAGGCTAAATTGCAATTGTATATGGGAATACTCTATCATTTTTCACTGCCCTTCCGATAATCTGACCAGGCTTTATGTTGCCATTGGGAGAGCCACTGGAATGTGGTGGAGCAATGCAATTCCAATAGGCAAAAGTAGCTTTTCTCTAAACCGCCTGCATGATCCTGCTTAATCTGAACATTCTCCTTTGCAATACTGAGCTATTAAGACTAAATAGCTCCTTTCTCTCTGGCTATATGACACTTGTACATGGAGAGCTTCTTTGAAAATATCTTTGACCTCTAAATTGAAAGCTTACACATGGGAGAAGTTTGTGTTTGTGTATGTGTGTATGTATCTGCAATGAAAACTGAGTAGGGGCAACGCTGAGAGAGTTGTTAAAACTCTGCTTATAAAAGCTCATTCTGACTTCTATAAAAATCCAATGCAAGGTGTATTGGGGAAGTTGCATTGCTTCTTATAGATGAGAAAAAAACTTTCTTTAGGTGAGATTGTTTTCATGTGTCTATCCCTCTTTTTTTTTTTTTTTTTTTGCCTTCCTATTTCTAAGTCTCCAGCACACTCTTAAGCAGCATTCAAGATGAGAGCATTTATTTGGCCTGTGCTCAGTAACATTTTAAAATGGCACAGGACGAACTGTGGAAAGAATAAAGGATGCCTGGGACTGCTGCTTCTCTAGGTTCTATTCATTTCTCTCCCACGCAAATAATTTGTTGGGGGAAAAAAAAATTCTCCCAAAGTTTTCTTGCAGATTTGCAACCTCCCTCCCCTCCATATCCTTTCAGTCCCCTAAAAGGATAGCATTAGCTTGTGAAAATTGTGCAAATTTAGCAGTTAACACTAGAGGCAGAAGGCCAGGGAGTAAGAAAGGAAGAGTAGATTCAAGAGTTCAGTTGTCCAGTCAAGGTGGGAGACGAAGCAAATACAGAAGGAAAAAAAATGATAAAACTGCCCACCCACCTGCTATAAGAAAAACATAATGTAAAAACATTGCCCTAGAAGTTAGTGCATGCCCCAACCTTCCATTGTCAGATTTGGGGCAGGCCTTGGTGGGGAAGGGACAGTAGCAGTTCAGCTGGAATTTCTTCCCCCGGCTCTTCTCACACATCTCTTGGGTCTCTCGGGTTCTTTGCCACGTCACTCGCTCCTTTCAAAAAGGTCCTTAAAATTGTTTCAATTTGCTTTGATAATAATGATTTAAAGGATTGTTTGTTTTTCTTCTGTTCAATCTGTGCAAAAGGTTCAAAGACGCAGCAGACTCTGTGCACTGTTTTTGTGCCGAGCCCCAATATATCTTGTGTGTTTTCTGGTTGCTGCAACTTGCTTGCCCCTTCTCTTTTAGCATCCACTGCTAGGAAGTCTGCAACAACAACTCAGCCTTTTCAGCTACTTAGGGCCATTGTGTCAATTGCCTGCTCCAACTTACTTCGCAGCCGTTGTCTTCGGGCCTGTTCATCCTTCTCTAAAGCAGCTAAAATCTGATAAAGGAAAGAACAGAAAGGAAAGGATTAGTACTAATAAAAAAATCCACTACAATCTGAAATACTTTCCACAAGGAGCTCTCTAACAGGAAAGCCGGCAGGAATCTTCCTTGAACCATCAAAAGACCAATCATGACAACAGTAAGGAGACAGTGGAACACAGTTGTCAGTGGAAAAAAAATATGAAGTGGCTGGTTTCCCAAACATCAAAGATAAGAAGAAACTGGGAGGAAATATTGGATTGTAAACTGGAATTTGATGTTAACAGAATAACAGAATTGGAAGGAACCTTGGAGATCCTTCTTATCCAACCCCCTGCTTAAGCAGAAAACCCTGTACCATTTCAGATAAATGATTGTCCAATCTCTTCTTAAAAACTCCCCCCCCCCCTTGCAGCACCCAAACTTCTGGAAGTGAGTCAGTCCACCGATTAATTGTTCCAACTGTCAGGAATTTCTCCTTAGTTCTAGGCTGGTTGATTAGTTTCCATCCATTGCTTCTTGTCCTGCCTTTTGGTGCTTTGGGGAATAGGTTGTTTCCCACTTCTTTGTGGCAGCGTCTTAGATATTGGAACACTGCTACATGTCACCCCTAGTCCTTCTTTTCATTAATCTAGAAATGCCTAATTCCTGCAACCGTTCTTCATATTTTATCTTCCACCCCTCTAATCATCTTTGTTGCTTTCAAATGAATGGTTTACTTGCCAGATCACTGCAAAACATGACAACTAAGGGTAGGAGACATGTTTAACTTGGTTTGTAGCCAGCTGTTCTTTAAAATAGTCAGTATCCTCTCTCTGCAGATTTTCTCTATCAATTTGGGTTTCAAAATGTAGAGGTGAAAAGCAATTTAAGCCATATACTATGAGAGGCAGGAATGTGTAAGCATTTTCTTTCTGTTTATTGGAATGACTATTCTTCTTTATCCCAATCAATAAAAAAAATGGTTTGTGAGCATGAGCTATGCAGATGCTATTGTTATTAAATCAAAGTAGGTAAACAAGGTGGATTGAATCCACCTGAATGTTTTGTCACACTGTGGTACAATAAACCAAGCATTGTATTGACCTGAATCGTAACTCCCCCACATAGGCCCAGAAACATAATATGTTTTCTTAAAGTCTAAATTTGTCCTGATGTTGAGATTCTATGAGAGAATGGTTCTTCATGGACATAAAACCTGATAATTATACAGAACAAACAATGGGATAAATTCTAGGAAAGTCATGGATGTCTCCGCAATTGATAAAGAAACAGTTTCTTTAGCAGTTAAATATTTTGAATAGAATATTCAAAGGCCTCCCCTGGAATCTTTTAAGTCGATCTTTTGCAGATTCACTTTATTTTTAAATCCATTACTATTCACAATGAGACATTTCTCAGGTAACCAATATTTTTAAATGTTTCTGTTTAGGTCATCCTGAGCTCATTCAATCCAAAGGAGAATTTGAGCCTTATAGTCTCTGTTAAAGAGTGAAACTATATAAGCAGTGAGTGCCTATGATTGGTTTCTGGGCAAGGCAAGAAAAATTGCTGAAGAATCTAAATTTATTGATCCAATGTAGATTTCATATTCAATTGCAGTCAGATTTGCCTCAATTGACAAAAGAACATATTGCTAATCAAACTACGTTTTAGAATACTGGAAAACGGTAATTCTGGAATTTTTCCACCAAAATTTCATTCCACTAAATAGGCTTATACTTCAGTGCCTTTCAGAAAACAAGTCAAGTAATGGAATTTAGCATGCTTAAGGCCTTTTATTGAAGGCACTAGAAAAAAGGACATAATTATGGAATACAGTCAAATTCATATAATAAACATCTTTCCCACTGAAAGAGCTAAAAATGCATTCTACATTTCAGTTCCATTCTCAGAATTAGATGAAAACCTTTAGATCACCATTTGTACATATTCTTACAAAGCCATTCTTTAATCAACCACATTAATGAACTGAGGGGGTGGGATGTTGCGAGTAGTTGACAGTGAGTGAGAAGGGAAGATTTGGCAGGATAGGATTGAGAAAGTGGAGGGATAAAACAGAAATGCCCCCAAACCCCACCTCCCTTTCAACTGCACTGCCAGATATATATAGATATATATATATATATATATATATATATATATATATATATATATATATATATATATATATATATATATATATTAAAAGGATGATTAAAATGCAATCTCATCAGAAATCCCATTATAGTGGTTACATTTGTTGTGAGTGCAAGCTGGATTTTTTCCCCCCAATTAAATATCGAGGCATCCATCAAAAAGAACTCAATTAACCATTTCATTGGCTGCATAATTGGAAACAAACTCTTGTATAATTAATAGGCTGACTATTCGAAAGCAGGAACGGCTGATCACAAGCCCTACAAGTAATATGGAAATAAGCTCCCTGTGATTAAAAGCAACTGTGACACCTTTAGGCTTCCCGTACTGTGCATACAGACATGATGGAGAGCACACATAGCACTGCTACCCAGGGCTTTGGGAAAGGCTGTAATGTCACAAATAAAGGAAGCTACAAAGGTAATGTGCCACAGAGCTGGTACATCCAGGTGGAATCAGATCAAGAAAGGGGTTAGCCAGTCCAATGCCCTGTGGGAAGGTATTCTAAAGCTGTTATCCTATGGGAAAATATTTCTTGTGTCTAATTGTGAAAGTTTTCTAAATATGAAAAGTGATCCCTTGGCTTCCTGGGACAAAAATGGTCCAGCTGCAAATCCATATAGTTGCAATCCAGGCCAGAGTTTGACTCCCCGCAATGCCTCATCCCTCACCTGAAGCATTGTTCCCAAGCACCTCTAGGTGGTGCTAAAATACTGAATGTCAACCAAAGCAACCAATTAGGTTGCCCGAGTCAAATCTTAGGATCCTAAAGGTGTTGGAGGCCTGAATAGAATGAGAGACTCCCCCAAATTGCCTTTGCTCCTCCTGATTCAAATGGAGACAATCACTAAAGTTTGTCATTTTGGAAAGATTTTATAACCAGCTTTGTGCCTGGTTGTTCTTCTGTGGCACTTCTGGGCACAACAGGATAAAACAGAAAACAGCAGGGCAGGCAGAGAGAAAAAGAGAGACACTTGTCTATCACCTGCTCTAAAGACCGCCATGATTAGAGAAGAGGCAAAAACCCAAATGAAAATTATGATTTTCATTCAGTGCCAATGACAGCACATTATAGTACTGAGCAATAGGAAAAATTATTCCCTCCCATTTTGCATCAGAGAGGGTGCAATCGGGCTGCATGTAATTGTGTTTAATGAATGAAAACAAACAAAGGGAACAGCTGCTATTTATTAATCCCATTACAAATCATAAAAGAAGCTCCTGAGAGCTGCAAACACATAGGCAGTACTTTTAGAGCAGACTATAGAGGCACATTCAAAAGATGCCAGACAGTAGTTAACCAAAGGACAAGGATTGGCCACTTCTTTTGCCTGTAGCTCATTAAGGCTGCACTTTCTAACCACGTAGCATTTGCCCAGCTTGCTACTGATTTCTGTTGTTAAGATCTTGCTGATTTGTAAAAGTAATGAAAGGGAATGTTGGGAGCTCAGGGCAGCAGCTGCTGAGAAAAGGGCTGGAGGAACTGCTCTTTGGGGGTGCTGCTGCCTCTAGCTCCAGTTTTTGTTATTGCCGTTGATCTTATCCAGATGGCAGGTACAGTGTTGAAAAGCTGCAACTGTGCTGGCTGTTAAGTTCCTATTGATGGCCTCTGTGACCTTAAGGGAGGTCGAATTTACGCTTGGGTCTATTCACACAAAAGGCTTATCTTGGCACTGTTGGTGCATATTTATGTTTCCCAGACCTGGAACCCACTAAACCTTGCCCAACTTAATCAAGATATGATTAAAAGGAAAGGTTACATGGAGATTTATTTGCAAGGGAGAAGTAATACTTATTTGTCTGGATTTTGTTCAAAAGAATGATATTGCATTCCTTGTTTTATTTATTCATTAAAATTTATATGCCATCCATCTCACTATCCAAAGCAACTAGGGGCAGTGTGCAATATAGTAAAGAGTTAAATAAATAAATTCCTTTCCAGACTGCAATAATAAGAAAGGGGATCCTTCAAGAAACAGCTTATCCCATCACAACTGGGTGGCAGAGTTCTAAAGCCTTTTTGACTTCTTACTATTGAATGAAACCCCAGAGTGCCACTACTAAGAGGTTTTGATTAATCTACTACTTGGTAATATCTAAAGCCTACAACTGCCATCAAGAATAAAAAATTGGTCAACTCACAGGGGATCCTCAGGATCACACTGCCTTTTGGATGGACTCTTGAGGAATGAAAATATCATTCCTCGTGCAACCCCCATTCTTCATTATTAATAGGAGTTATGATAAATGAAGCTTCATATCTGTGTGAAAGATGCTTTTCTCTTTTATGCATTGCAACCAGCACATTGGAATGAGTGATTATTAAATTGATATAAATATTAAAAATTCTGCATTATTATTATTATTCTATTAACCTTCTACTTTCAGTTCAGAAAGAAAAACTGTAGATCTGGATAAAAAAAATCTCATTAATTTGGAATTTCAAACGATTCTGTCTGTATCACTCTGAAAATAATTCTACATCTTTTATCTCTAAGCTCTTGTTCATAGGAAATCTAAAATACCTCTAGTAACTGAATCTATTCTACATAAGTAGTGATTATTAATCATTAATATGCAATGCCAACAAAAGACTGGCATGTAAATTTATTTTATGGGATAAAAACAATAAGAAATTGGAATGTTCCCAGTAGCATTACATTATACCAGTGTTTCCCAAACTTGACAATTTTAAGGCATGTGGACTTCAACTCCCAGAATTCCACAGCCAGCGTTGCTGGCTGTGGAATTCTGGGAGTTGAAGTCCTCATGCCTTAAAATTGTCAAGTTTGGGAAACACTACATTATACCATAGAGGGAACTCTGCTGACTTGAAATAGATCTCTGAACTGCATATTCAAAGAAACTCTGTTCTGCAAAATGCAAGTTGCCACTGAGAGATACAAGAATCCATCTGAAGGTCATGTCTACAAAGAAGCAGTAATCAGTTTTGCTGACATGTACCATTAATGTTACTCTTTCACCATCCATCCGAATCTGGTGTCATTCAGAAATAATACTTTCAGAATTTCCAATATGTAAAATACTTTATATATGAATAGAATATTTAAACAGAGTAATATTATTCAAAACATAGGTAGGGAACATGTTTTAAAGTGGTCTTACTTAGAATATTAACAAGCGTGTCACAAGCGCTCTTACAAAATGGATGGACAAATGTGCTTTCCTATTCACAAATAATGGGCACATCAATCACACAATAACTATTCTCCAGACTGTGAATAGGTGAGATTGCTCCCTGCCAACCGCTCTAAACCCCTGGGGTGCTCCCTATTACCCCAGTTTTCCTTCCCTTCTTTTTTGCTTCTGCCAGGTGGCCATAGTTTCAGCATAAAGCTGCGACCACCCACCATTTTTATTGTTTAATAATCCTAAACTTTAGTGAGACTCAAAGATTTTTGGAACTTAAAAATGAGACTGAATTTGGTGGCATGCTAGCTTTCTAATAAAAACCAAATATCTGCAGGTACAAAGGGAGGTGGATATATACATCTAGTCTGAAATAACTTATCAAATCAATGACTAAAGATCAGCCAAGGTTCCCCAAAATTTAAACATACAGTAGCTATTTGGTGGTGGTGGTGGTGGGGCTTTCAGGCCTGGACTAATCTCTGCAATTTTCTTGGCAACTTTTTTGGAAGTGGTTTGTCACTGCTTTCTTCCCAGAGCTGAGAAAAAGACTAGCCCAAGGTCACCAGAGGAACAGAACAGAATAACAGAAGTGGAAGGAAGTCTTCTAGTCCAGTGTTTCTCAACCTTGACAATTTTAAGGCATGTGGACTTCAACTCCCAGAATTCCACAGCCAGCAATGCTGGCTGTGGAATTCTGGGAGTTGAAGTCCACATGCCTTAAAATTGTCAAGGTTGAGAAACACTGTTCTAGTCTAACCCATTACTCAAGGAGGAGACCCTTTTTTTAAAAGCTTCCAGTGACGGAGCACCCACAACTTTGGAAGGCAAGCCGTTCCACTGGTTTATTGTTCTAACTGTCAGGAAGTTTCTCCTTAGTTCTAGGTTGCTTCTCTCCTTCATTAATTTCCATCCATTGCTTCTTGTCCTGCCCTCAGGTGCTTTGGAGAATAGCTTGACTCCCTCTTCTTTGTGGCAACCCCTGAAATATTGGAACACTGCTATCATGTCACCCCTCATCCTTCTCTTCATTAAACTAGACATACCCAATTCCTGCAACTGTTCTTCATATCTTTTAGCCACCAGTCCCCTAATCATCTTTGCTGTTCTTCTCTTCTTTTTTATATTAGGGTGATCAAAACTGGATGCAGTATTCCAAGGGTGGTCTTATAAAGCAGTACCAACACTTCAAGTGATCTTGATTCTATTCTTGTTAATGCACCTGGGATTGTATTGGCTTTTCTGGCAACTGCAGAACACTGTTGGCTGATATTTAAGTGATTGTCCATTAGGACTCCAAGACCCCTCTCACAGTTACTGCTACTGAACAAAGTTTCACTTAATCTGTATGTGTACATTTGATTTTTCTTGCCTAAGTGTAATATTTTACTTTTTTCTCCATTGAATTTCATTTTGTTAGATAGGGCTCAATGTTCAAGTCTGTCAAGATCCTTCTGGATCTTAAACCTATCTTTGGAGCGTTGGCTATTCCCACACTGCAAAGTCTGCAAATTTGATAAGTTCCCCTTCTAGACCCTCATCCAAATAATTTATGAAGATTTTGAAGAGTACTGGTCTTAAGGCACAACCTCAGGGTACTCTATTGCTTCCTTCCTTCCGCAGATTTAGTTCCATTAAGGACTACACGTTGAGGGTAGTTTGTCAACCAGTTACAAATCCATCTGATGGCGATGCTATCTATCCCACATTTTTTTAGCTTACCAGCTGGCTTTTTCCCTAAGATAGGATAAGAACTCACAGTCTCCTAATTCTTTGCCTGGTACCTTAACCACCACACCAAGCTGGTTTGCTAAACCTAGCTACATGATCATGGATTATTTTTCATTTGTAGGTAGACCTCAACTTGCAACCACAACTGTGCCAGAATCTTTGGTCATTAAGCCAAGCAATCATTAAGCGAGATGTCTTGTGATTGCTTCATTCAACAACCTCAATCCTGGTTCTCCCAGTTGTGGTAATTGTGGGTGACTAAACCGAGTATGGGGTTGCCTTATGGACTACAGGACACATCGGCATGCAGAAATTTGCTATGTGGTGGGAGATCTCAGCTTAGCTACAGAGCCTACTGGAGTGCAGAAACCTCTAAGAAGAGGCCACTTTTTTTACTAGCTATTAAAGGAACCATATTTGGAGCCTTGCCCAGATATTTGACAAGGTCTTGTACAAATGCTTTCATTATCTTATATAAGCAACCAATTCCCTTCCCCAGCTCTCATCATCTTTCTGTTGGGCAATAAAATCCATATAATTCCATTTATACATACATATATATATATTTATTAACATCATATATTTTATTGCTTTAATAAAGGATTGTACAGAATGTGTTCAAAACTACTTTCTGCTGTTTATACCAATTACAATAGATGGGTTTTTAACCATTCTTAAAACTTTATAGGCTTATGAAGTGGATTTCTTGTGATAGTAAATACCACCCCCACCTCAAAATTATAAATAAGGTCATTTGAACACAGGGTCAATGAAATGACCCAGAATAGCTGACACAGAACACATTCATTTAGAGAATTAAGTGCTTCAGGTTTAAGTGGATAGGTATTTTCTTCTGTCTCTTATTTGATTACTTCATGAGATGTGTTCCCTTCATTGATTTAATTCCTCTGTTCTTATTGGCCCATTACTTATCTGCTGAGACACTTGTGATTTTTTTTTCTGTTTTGGAAACATGTTGTTTTGTCTGTGTTTGTTACTTTAAACAATTAGTATCAAAATAGGAGAAGAAAGTATGAATGACAATGGGCATATAAAAATAATTCGAGGCATATCTAAACTTTAAAAAAGAAACAAAATGTCCTCTCTTTGTAAAGCAAATGCAGGGCTCATAAGAGCTTCAGTAGAAGGTCTTGGTAGGTGGCAGCATCTAGCTGGCCTTGGCTTGTAGGGCCTGGTTAATTCTCGGAAAGAGATATCCACAATATCCCAGGATTGTAGATTATGTGAAATAGAAAGACAACGGAGCTTCTCGAAAACCTACATGCAAAAATCACTAGGATTCGAGAGGGTAATATCATCATCAATATTAATGGAGAGAATTTGGGGAAAAACTACTACTTGACATATGTTCTTATCTCATCCATGTCACAGTTGATAGTTAGGATTAGGGGAGAAAGGGATGTTGAGAAGAATCAATATCTTTGGGATATCTCAGTACCATTCTAGTATCTCAACAAATGGATAATTGAATCACATCCTTTTAATGATGACTAGCTGTTCAAGAAGACAAACATCCTTTTCAATTTAAAGTGGGACAAAGCCCAGACAGGTTTACCCCACATAATAGAAATGATACGTACAACTGTGATATTTTGTAAGTAAGTGCCTATATCAACCTTTAATAACTGATTTTGGGATATAATTATTATGCACATATTTGTGTTCTTTTGTTCATTGCTTTTGTATACTACAGATATTTTTTCAAATATAAAAAAAATGCAGCTACTTTTATATTTGTATGGAAATGCTGCAGGACATTGAATAGCGGGTGCTGATTAGCTGGCTATGCAACTATTAAGACATGATGTGATGAATTTGCAGTGGAATAAAAGCAGCTCCACTCTGGACTTCTTTTCATGAATCAAAACAAAGAGGGGAAAAACAGAGATAAATAGTTAAACTAAGATACTGTACATCTGAGAGCTCCAATATACCTTACCTCATCCTTGTACTTAGTAATGTATGAGTAGATCTCATGCAGGGCACTCATGCTGTTGAATTGGCTCAAGTGTAACCGTGATTGCTCTGCCAAATAGGCGCTCATGTCCTGATCGCTGATTGCTGGCATTTTAGCTATATCTGCATAATATCTATAAGTGAGAAGGAGGAAAATAAATCACACTGTTGAAAATAAAGATGTTCAATAGCAGGTAGGAGACAAACTGAGGATAAATTTAGAAAATACCATAAATGAAATTAACAAGTCTGTAGATTAAAAGTAATAAATCTATTCATTACAATGAAGCAATTGTACACAACACATTTAGCCATTTTATAGTGTTCTGCCTGCCAAATGACTCTTCATTTTGTGTTCAAGTAACCAGACTAGCCCTCATAAGCCCTCACAGACAGAGAACACAGAATCTCCCTTTACATATCTTAAGACTGAGGCGATGAGGCAGGGTGCCTGGTCCAAGGTCCTTATGTGAATTAAAATAATAGGACAGCTTTAAGGAGTTGCTGTGATAAATGGGGGTAAACCTTTTGTTGAGATCTGTTTCCCCCTCTCCTCTCCCCAAAGAAGCTTGGATGCAAGGAGCTGAGTGAAAGATCTAATCTTTCTGCAGAAACAGAAATGCTAGGGCTGTCTTAAATAGGACTGTGGACTGCTTGGTACTGCTATACCTGGCCTACAAACACAAAGAAAAGCACAGAAGGATTTCTGAGGGAAAATGACCTGCAGTAAAAGATGTCTTGTCTACATTCACTATTGGAGATAGTTCCAAAATCATGGTGATGCAAGTAAAGCAGAATCACAGATAGGCAGTGGACACTCCTATGAGGAGAACTTAATGGAGCTCAGCAGAGCAGCAGAAAGTGACATATTTGGAAATTGTGTTTTATAATCCTATATTTATTACAAAGTTTATGACCATCTTATGATTACAGCTGTTATGGAAGAAATGGGTTTCACTTAGGAGAGAGAGATACAAGCCCATTTCTTCCATAACATCAATAATCATTATCAAGCATTTATAGAATAGTTTATAATTTTACATACATCCTAGAACGTAAATATGAAACATAAAAGATTCATGTTTTAAAAGTCTAGCCATTTAGGAAAGATCCTAAGGGCAATGTTATCTCTAAAATACCACCATAATGTATAATATCAGCTAATATTAAAAATAGCCAGCTAAGCAAGTAGCAAATAGCATTGAATATCAAGGCTATGAGTGTGCTTCAGAGCCTTCTCTGCTAATCATTAAAGCAGCCCTACTTTCTTCAGGTTCTCCACATTAAAGCAATGTTGCTGCTTTAAGAAACTAATCCATTAAAGTTGTATTAACTTTAAAGGATCAATTCCTTAAAGCAGTTGTACTTTTTTCAAGCTCTCAAAAAAGAGAGCTAATATTTAATGACTAGTACAAAAGTGCTTGCCCAAGATCTGAAGTTTTCATCCTCATCATTTTCAAAGTGTGCCCAATCTCATTAAATAATTTTTTTTAAAAAAAAATAAAATCTTAAGGTGATACAACTTGCTGTATGCAAAAGACTGCATCACAAGATACTGTTTGCATTAAGGCTCACAGCTGAAAATATGGAAAGGACACAAAATAAAGATTTTGTCCTAGATGTCCTTACCTTGAGATGGTGGGGTAAAAATGGAAGTGCCCCCCCTCCCTCTCATAATATTAGTTAACTTTCTGGGTATAGGAGGATCAGGGAGATGACCTTAAAGAAGGAATCTACAGGCCATTAAGAAAACATCAGGTACAGTACAAAATAAACATGGGTTAAGTCCAGAGAGAATGGAAGGGTGTTACAAAGAGACTCAGTCTATCCCATCTCTGGTTCCCTAGGATCTAAGAGGGAAGGAAGGGAAAACTTAGCCAAGATTCTGTTATGAAAGCTTATCACAATGAAATATAATTCTAGCGATCTATGGAGTCAGTTTCCTGGTCTGTCCATCTTGTAGGGCTGACACTGGGTTTGTGTAGTCCACATATTACCATGAATAAACAAGAGCTCTCATAAAAATAGTGCTCACAAAATTAATGTAATATCCTTCTCCTTTTATTATTTCTGAATAATAAATTGTTAAAACAGTTTGAATTAAAGCTCAGTCACAAATGTAATCTCTAAGTCAAGAACCAGGTATATGGTTTGAACAATTCACCAAAGCTAACTAATGTCTCTCTGTGTGTATGTGTGTGCGTACACAAACAGACACACAGTCAATTTGTTCAATAAAATAGCTCTGCTTATAAACAGAGAGTCTTATTCATCCTGTGTTTCATTATCTATTGTTTTCATCTTTATTAGCAGCAGTGGAAAAAAAACTTCTGGTTTTACTTAAAACATCAGTGGGATAATGATGTCACAAGCGAATACAATTTTCACATAATAGCACCAGCTACGCTGAGTGCCACTCTTTTCAATGTGCAAGTCTCTACCCCAATAGTACACAATAATTAACAAACCAAGCATACTTGAAGTTGATCAGAATCTCCTTTTATCTGTATTACTCAACACAATGTGATTGTATTATTTTCAGGTTGGATCTAATCCAGGCTTTAAATTCCACTGGCAAGAAACTTTTCTTTGCTAATCCTCCTGCAAATGGATTGCTTTACCAGTAGAAATATCCTCAAAATACAGTGAAGGTGGAAGGAGAAAGGGGAGGAAGTTATTTTTACTTCTCTGGAGTGCCTCCTTACTCACTACTCCCAAATTCCCCAACCCACCTCCACCAATTCTTAAATGCAATTTTAGGAGACTGGGATCTGATAATGATTGCAAGATGCATCATTCCCTGTCTTGTTTAATCACTGAAAAGTTCAGCTGATAGAAGAAACACTTCATTGGGTCTCCCCCCCCCATTAGATGTTTATGCTGTATCCAACCTAATAGAAACAGCTGCCATTGTGAAATCTATGTGCTCTATTACTTATTCATTAGAAGGGTTTTGAGAGGAATTGGCAATTCTTACAAAAACAATTACTTGCAATTGTTTCCAAAAACCAAATGTTCTCCTCTAACCCAAGGAGGCTCTTTTATAGCAGGTAACCATCCCAAATTTTCTAGAACTGACACACCTTTGTTCCTTTTGCAAACCTACTTTGTCTATAGCTGCAATTACTCACCTTTCTACCCAGCTTTTATAGTTAGGGATGTCCTTGGCATACAGTAGTTTATTGGAGGGAGAGTCTTTCCCTAGCTTGTGCTCAGAAGTTGAGCAGGAGTCCATGAATGTCTGAGCCACCACTGATAGGCAGGCATCAGTAATACTGTTCTTATGAATATCGAACACAAATTGCGGGTTCTTAATCACATTCACCCAAAAACGTAGAGGTAGACTGCAAAGGAGAAGAAAAGAAGACATTATTCTTAGAAGCTTCAAGTAAGGCCCTTGGCAAAAACCTTTACCTGGTTAAAATATATCAACGTAATGGGCAGGGATTTCCCCCAGATATAAACAGGTGATAATATATACTGCAGCTGTATATGAACATATTTAAGAAAGTTTTACACGTGACTATAAATATATAAATAATTTTAAGGGCATTTGGCATTTAAAAAGTAACAGTGAATATGAGAAATATTTGTATCATGATACTTGTTTTAATTATCCAAAATTGTGCCTAGTAAATTCTATTATTTTTGACACAGAATGTTGTTGTTGTTGTTGTTAATTGCGAAGTCGTGTCCGACCCATCGCGACCCCATGGACAACGTTCCTCCAGGTCTTCCTGTCCTCTACCATCTTCTGGAGTCCATTTAAGTTTACACCTACTGCTTCAGTGACTCCATCCAGCCATCTCATTCTCTGTCGTCCCCTTTTTCTATTGCCCTCAATCTTTCCCAGCATTAGGCCCTTCTCCAGTGAGTCCTTCCTTCTCATTAGGTGGCCAAAGTATTTGAGTTTCAACTTCAGGATCTGACCTTCTAAAGAGCAGTCAGGGTTGATCTCTTCTAGGACTGACCGGTTTGAACGCCTTGCAGTCCAAGGGACTCGCAGGAGTCTTCTCCAGCACCATAGTTCAAAGGCCTCAATTCTTTGGCGCTCAGCCTTTCTTATGGTCCAACTTTCACAGCCATACATTGCAACTGGGAAAACCATGGCCTGGACTATACGCACTTTTGTTGGCAGGGTGATGTCTCTGCTTTTTAGTATGCTGTCTAGATTTGCCATAGCTTTCCTCCCCAGGAGCAAGCGTCTTTTAATTTCTTGGCTGCAGTCCCCATCTGAGGTGATCTTGGAGCCCAGAAAAATAAAATCTGTCACTACCTCCATTTCTTCCCCATCTATTTGCCAGGAATTGAGAGGGCCGGATGCCATGATTTTGGTTTTCTTAATGTTGAGTTTCAAGCCAACTTTTGCACTCTCCTTCTTCACCCGCATCAAGAGGCTCTTTAGTTCCTCTTCACTTTCTGCCATTAGAGTGGTATCATCTGCATATCTTAGGTTGTTGATATTTCTCCCGGCAATCTTAATTCCAACTTTTGATTCATCTAGCTCTGCCTTTCTCATGATGTGCTCTGCATATAAGTTAAATAGGCAGGGCGACAGTATACAGCCTTGCCGGACTCCTTTTCCAATTTTGAACCAATCAGTGGTTCCGTGTCCAGTTCTCACTGTTGCTTCTTGACCCGCATATAGGTTTCTCAAGAGACAAATGAGATGGTCTGGTACTCCCATCTCTTTAAGAACTTGCCACAATTTGTTGTGATCCACACAATCAAAGGCTTTAGCATAGTCAATGAAGCAGAAGTAGATGTTTTTCTGGAACTCCCTAGCTTTCTCCATGATCCAGCGTATGTTGGCAATTTGATCTCTAGTTCCTCTGCCCCTTCGAAATCCTGCCTGTACTTCTGGTAGTTCTCGATCCACATACTGCTGGAGTCTAGCTTGTAGGATTTTAAGCATAACTTTACTAGCATGTGAAATGAGTGCAATGGTGCGATAGTTTGAACATTCTTTGGCATTGCCTTTCTTTGGAATTGGAATGTAAACTGACCTTTTCCAATCCTGTGGCCACTGTTGAGTTTTCCAAATTTGCTGGCAAATTGAGTGTAGCACTTTTACTGCATCGTCTTTTAAGATTTTGAATAGCTCAGCTGGAATACTGTCACCTCCACTAGCTTTGTTGTTGCTCAGATTTTCTAAGGCCCATTTCACTTCACATTCTAGGATGTCTGGTTCGAGGTCAGTGACCATCTCATTGTGGTTATCTGGGATGTTAACTCATTCTTGTATAGTTCTTCTGTGTAGTTTTGCCATCTCTTCTTAATCTCTTCTGCCTCTGTTAGGTTTCTGCCATTTTGGTCCTTTATCATGCCCATCTTTGCATGAAACGTTCCCTTCATATCTCCAATTTTCTTGAAGAGATCTCTGGTCCTCCCTATTCTGTTGTTTTCTTCTATTTCTTTGCACTGTTCATTTAAGAAGGCATTCTTATCTCTTCTAGCTACTCTCTGGAATTCTGCATTCAATTGGGTGTATCTTTCTCTTTCTCCTTTGCCTTTCGCTTCCCTTCTTTCCTCTGCTATTTGCAAAGCTTCCTCAGATAGCCATTTTGCTTTCTTTCATTTCTTTTTCTTTGGGATGGTTTTAGTTGCTACCTCTTGTACAATGTTGCGAACTTCCATCCATAGTTCTTCAGGCACTCTGTCTATCAGATCTAATTCCTTAAATCTATTTGTCACCTCTACTGTATATTCATCAGGAATATGATTTAGTTCATACCTGAGTGGCCTAGTGCTTTTCCCTACTTTTTTCAATTTAAGCCTAAATTTTGCAACGAGAAGCTCATGATCTGAGCCACAGTCAGCTCCTGGTCTTGTTTTTACTGACTGTATAGAGCTTCTCCATCTTTGGCTGCAGAGCACATAGTCAATCTGATTTCTATGTTGACCGTCTGGTGATGTCCATGTGTAGAGCCGTCTCTTGGGTTGTTGGAAAAGAGTGTTTGTTATGACCATCGTATTCTCTTGACAAAATTCTATCAGCCTGTGCCCTGCTTCATTTTGTACTCCAAGGCCAAACTTGCCTGTTATTCCGGTTATCTTTTGGCTTCCTACCTTAGCATTCCAATCCCCCATGATGATAAGGACATCATTTTTTGGTGTTAATTCTATAAGGTGCTGTAGGGCTTCATAGAACCGGTCAATTTCATCCTCTTCAGCACCAGTGATTGGGGCATAGATTTGGACTATTGTGATATTGAATGGTTTGCCTTGGATTCGAATTGAGATCATTCTGTCATTTTGGGGATTGTATCCCAGTATTGCTTTTCCTATTCTTTTATTGACTATGAAGGCTACTCCATTTCTTCTGAGGGATTCTTGCCCACAGTAGTATACCTGATGGTCATCTGAGTTAAATTCACCCATTCCTGTCCATTTTAGTTCGCTGATTCCTAAGATGTCGATGTTCAGTCTTGTCATCTCTTTTTTGACTATGTCTAGCTTGCCTTGATTCATGGATCTTACATTCCAGGTTCCTATGGAGAAAAAGTCTTTACAGCATCGGACTTTCCTTTCACCACCAGATATATCCACAGCTGAGCGTCCTTTCGGCTTTGGCCCAGTCGCTTCATTCTTTCTGGCGCTATTAGTACTAGTCCTCTGCTCTTCCCCAGTAGCATATTAGACACCTTCCGACCTGAGGGGCTCATCTTCCAGCGTCATATCTTTTTGCCTTTTAGTACTGTCCATGGGGTTTTCATGGCAAAGATACTGGAGTGATTTGCCATTTCCTTCTCCAGTGGATCACATTTTGTCAGAACTCTCTGCTATAACCTGTCCATCTTGGGTGGCCCTGCATGGCATAGCTTATAGCTTCATTGAGTTATGCAAGCCCCTTCGCCACGACAAGGCAGTAATCCATAAAGGGGTTGACACAGAATAGAGCAGTGTTTCTCAACCTTGACAATTTAAGGCATGTGGACTTCAACTCCCAGAATTCCACATGCCTTAAAATTGTCAAGGTTGAGAAACACTGGAATAGAGCATTTGTCAAAAGTCATTCATGCTGGTCTTGGGATTTTATCAGTACCTGTCAACATTTCTATCATTTCCATATGCTCTTCTTAAACCCTTTGGAATTACTGTTAAATGTCAGGGTTCACCAAGTTTTCTGCCCTTTATATTCTATATTAGCCCTTGGAGACTAAATTCGATTAAGAAATGAGAACTATAATTAAAGGAAAACCAAATACCTTCTTGATCTTCCTCAGCTCAGCATTAATTTATTTCTTAACTGAGGCAACCAGCACAATGCAATTGGCTGTGCTGTTTTTGCAAATTTCCCCTTGTCTATTTTCACAAATGTTATTGAGGTAGAAGGGCTGGATCATAATACTTTTCCTATTATATTGGCTAGGTTGAAAAAAACCCCAAAGTATTGGGAAAACTCAAGCTAATTTAGCGGAAGAAAGTGGGATGACCAAGTTTCAAAGCACAACACAAAGAATCTCAGGAATACTATCTAATTTTTCACTTCTCACTGGAAAAAATTCTGTACGTCAGGGAAATCCATGGAGACTTTTCCCATTTCTAGGAGGGGGGATTTTTTTGTGTAAAATAATTCCATTGTCTGATCTCACCTACAGCCTGAAATAGCATAAAATCTTAATTATCTTAATGAAAACTAGGCCCTGCTTTTCGTATTTATCTCAATTGTTAAACTCCCACAAGTCATATAATCCAGGTGTTGGTCATACCTACATCTTTTAATTTCGGGAATCATCTCTTGAAATTAACTCTATCCACTGAATTAACAGTACAAAACAAGCAAAGGCATTAGTATGCCAGAGCCTGCCTGCCTCCCTGGGCTCTGTGGAGTTGCATCATTGGGATTCTTTCCCTACCCCGTTTTTCCTCCCAGAGCAGCTATTTCCTTTAATATAGAAAGCTGAGTGATAAATCAGTTCCAAGTGTTTCCATGCTCTCATAACTCCATTTAAAAAATGTTTCTTTTCCTGCCTTGCTAATTACTGACAGTTACTGAACTACAAAAGCAATTTGGTTGCTATTTAACAAATACCAGAGATCAGAGTGTATATTCCTTTCCCCAGTAACAGTGAAAGGAACTGAGAGATCAAATCAGGAAGGCAGCAGAAGAAGAGAAAGTGTCTGCCACTTCTTACTATTCACTGAGCACATTAATCCCCAATAGCATGAAATAAATAGCGAGACAGAATTTAAGGCTATGCAAATCAGCATGCAGAGGAGAATTAACTTCCCTATCGCATTCGAAGGTAAATGTGGAATACAGTTCACCAGCAAATTGATAACTGGCTATATAAACAAAAATGCTGCATACAAGATTTTTAACTGCTCTCCTGTAGCTGCCGCTTTGATTGTTTATTAAGACTCTGAATCACTTCAGATTCAAAGATAAAGAGGTGCTTTGAAGCGTGCAAAGGTCTGAATGCAGCACCTGTTTGCAGCTCATTTCACTAGCTGCCCTGTTTTCTGGCACAGTGTGTCTGCCCCTCCAAGGCAGCCATGCCACTCCCCCCACCAAAGGTTAGAATTTCTCCAGCACTCTGAACACCTTTTTGCTTTGAATCAGTACTGCTGCGCAGCCCTATTATTTTACTGATCTCTTAATGATTATGTTTCCATTATTGGATCCACATTATTATTCCACATTTTATATTGTGATTTTAGCGATTTATACTTTAATTTAGAAAAGGCTGGTTTTGAGGGGGACTTGGCAAAGCAAGATGATGTCCCATAACATAAACTTACAGAAATTTCATTCTGACAGATCTGTATTTTTTATTTATTTGATTTCTACAACCTTCCATTTCAACAACTGACTTAGGTATAGGCCAGAGGTCCCCAACCTTTTGGGCACCAGGGACCGGTTCTGTGGAGAAAGGTTTTTTCGCGGACTGGAGAGTGTGTGGTTTTGTGTGCTGCCTGCATCCCACGGATGGGCTTTGCTTGCTTGCGTGGGCCTGGTTGCTGGCATGTCGCAGCTCGGTACCAGTCCACAGACCGGGGGTTGGTGACCCCTGGTATAGGCTATATCATGGGTGTCAAACTTGCAATATCACGTAACGTGTCATGACGTATCGCAACTTTTTCCCATTGCAGGAGCTGGGGTGGGTACGGTTTCGGCATGATGCATCCGGCCCGTGGGGCCAGCAGTTTGACACCCCTGCGCTATATTGTAGCCTAATATAAATGCCTTTTTAAGTGAGAGTATATGTGAGGCTTCCTCTACACCAGGTAATAGAGTAACATGCATGCTTTTGAGGCTGTACTTTCTTATGTGACTGAGATAATTTTTTAAAACTATCTGATCTATTTTCTAAAGAAGCTGAAACTACAGTAGGCTGTTTACACTCTTTGAAAGAAACATCTTCCTGTTAGCTACCCCCAAATTTTCACACACCAGCTGCAGAAACAAACCATTGATCTACCTAGCTGAATATTTATCTACACAATGACCCATTAGGTATCCACTCTGCCTCAGCTTGACCTTCAGAAGTTGGGAAGAGATCTTGGGACTTTCTGCAGTGCAAGTCATGCACTTTACTGCTGAGCATCTTCTTACCAGTTACTCTTCCAAGTGTGCCTGACATCATAGTCATTGATCTGGTGCTTATCAGCTTGTTCATCCAGGAAGTCAAACATGTACTTGATGGCCAGAGGCAAGGCACTCCCTCGGTGGGCTGTGCTGAAGATAGTCTCAAAAAGGTCATCCACAAACTTCTGCAAAGTTCCCTGGAACAAAAAAAAGAGGATATTTATTCAGCATTGCTTAATATATCATTGGTGTACACAACCGTGTACACAGCAATAGAATGAAGGCATTCTTCTTTTCTTCTCAGAAGGGCTAAAATATCTCGCTGGTATTAAAACATGCTCTAAAATAAGAAACTTAAGTGTCACCAGTGGATGAAATAAACCCGGCTTTTCATGGGCTATTGTAAAGGAATTTAGAACTGAACCGGGAAAAGGTTTAAAAGGACTATAAAGAGAGAAAGGAGGAAAGACATTAAAAATAGGGGGAGCTTCAATGGCACTTCTGCTGAGTTTTTACCATACCCTGTGGACACCATGTCATATCCATTCATTTATGATGGCTCCTATCCCTTGTCCATTCGTTATAAATCTTCAATTTAACAATTTACATGTGGTAGTGATATATGATTTTACAGAGAGCAATCCAAATTATTTCAGAGTTCTATTTCAGTATTCAATTAATTACAGCATCACTGCTTTTTTTCTTCTTCTTTTCATAATAGTTCCAAGCTGGCTTTCAAAGACAGTGATTTTTTATGAGGAAAGATAAGCCTATAATCCTCTCAGTTATCATCTCATGTAGGATCCAGCTACTGAAATTTGAAAAACATACAACACATGTAATCAGAATAGTTGTTAAAACTGCGGAAAGATTGTACAGGAGAGAGAAACTGTCACTGCAGACTGCTTTTAGTGTCTCTTCGAAGCTGCAAAGGCCACTTTGCTAAGAAATCTTAAATTTTGAAAGTGCTTTCAAAAACTGTGCCTTTCCACAGCCAGCAAATACCTAAAATGTAGATATATTCCTCTCCTTCAGGTTGAGGTAATCCAGGTATCTCCCTGTGAAAAAGGACTGCTTTTAGACTGAGAGAGAGAAAAAAAAATCTATGTTGAAATTCTGAAAGTATTTTGGAGAGAGTTTGAGTCAGTCTCTCTCTCTCACACACACACATAAAGAATCTGTGCTTTCTGACATAATGTTCAAATTATGTGTCACCTGAATATTTATAAACCAACCAAATGTGATAAAATTTCTAGATGCCTTGAGTGACAGAAAGAAAAGAAGAGAAAGAAAAAGAAAGAAAAGAAAGAGAAAGAAAGAAAAAAGAGAAAGAAAGAAAGAAAGAAAAGAAAGAAAGAAAGAAAGAAAGAAAAGCTTTATACTGTTTATTTTATTTTTTTTGCTGTTCGTAGAAGTAGCGAACAATATCCTGGAATGTTCAGGTTATATATATTCTAAAACTGTACAAGTTAAACAATAACAACACAGAAACCAGCATTCTTTTTGCAGATTACTATGATTTATGATTTGGCTGGAATAGATTCAGCTGAACTGAAGTTAGCCCTGCAGTTACCTAGGGATTTTTCAGAATCTGACAAAAGAGTGCTATTTTGATTTATTCTAATACAAATCTTATACTGACCATTTGATTTACTTCAGGAATCAGTGTAGCAATTATATTGTGAGCTGTTCAATGTTTGTGTCATAAGCCACTGGATTTTTAATACTCCTTTGTTTGGGTTTTTGCTGATATGGAATACTTGGTAAAATGAGGGTGTCCATCAAGTGCATGAATAATGAAGCTGGAAAAATCAATGATTATAGCACCTAGAGGCCGGAATCCCATCTTGCTTTTGGTAATAACTAGGGCAGAATACTCATCTTTGCAGTTTTATTAGGGGGGCACGGTGGATATAAAAAGGCTAGAAATGGGAGGTGATGAGATCAAAGGAATCAGACTACTCATCATACCAGAGGCAGTCGAATCACCAATCATCACTGAGAATGACTGGCCCAAGACCACCGAGCTGGCTTTTATGGATAATGTGGGACTAGAATTCAGTTTCCTGTGTTCTAGCCTGGTACATTAACTAATATTCATCTCCTGATTATGGATCAGGTTTGCTCTAACCCAACAGTGGGAACATGGAATCACAGAAATGGAAGGGACTAATCAAGTTCAATCCTCTGCACACTGCAGGATTCACTACACCACCCCTGATAGATGACTATCCAGATGGCAATTTAGAATCTGGTGCAATGCATATAATTCAGTATATAAAGTATATAAATCGAATTAGGAAAAAGGTGAACAGGCTAGAGTTCTGACAACATGTCATGATGAAATGTTAACAAACTTATAATACTACCCCATCCTTACAGTGGATCTAGGAGCCATTCTGATTTACCTTAGTAGCTAGCAGACGAGTCAAATATATTTCTGAGACCATCTTGCTGCCACGATCACCTTCTCGTTGATCCATGTGATCGTGATTCTTGACCAGATGCCAAAGCTTGGTGCCACTCTCCAGGTCAGGTGTGATCATGGGGGTCCGGGAACGGAGACTGTCAGGACTGCTAGCTGTCCGGAGCATACTCTCTGTGAGGAAACCACATATAATGGCAACTACCTCTCCCTCCTCCACTCACTCTTGGCCTCTGCTGTTCTCCCTCCACTTCACTTAACTTGCAGCATGGCCTGTCATACCATCAAGAAATATGATATGTTTTGGGCTACCCTGTCAATTAAACTTCATTAACCAAATGGCCCTAGGAATAAAAGAGATCACTGACTTGTTCGTTTGTTTTTTCATCCAAAGGATCTGATGAATAATGAAGGAAGCTCATTATAGTTTAAAACCTACTGGCAGGCACCCTTCGATTCTAAATAAATGACTCCCCCCCCCAAATGAAGGCAAATATACGTGTCCCAGGATAATGTTATACGATCCAATCTGGGTCAGTGATCAGGACCACAGGTTTAGTATGGTTTCAGACTCATGCTGAAGCCCATCCTCAGGGAACTTCTCTCTATCTGAATCTTCCTGAGGATGGGCTGCAGCACAAGTCCAAAAGCTCAGCAGACTCAACTTCTGGTCCTGGTGACCGACCCAGATTAGATCCTGCGACAATTTTTTTCCTCAGCAAAGTAATACTTTTAATGGTTATAATAGACACCTTGCTTCTCTTAATCATGTATCAATACAGCCCATAAAAACACAGTGACTTTAAGAAAACACAGTGAAGAAACACACGTTTTGGAAGCATAACTAAACTGGATAAAGCAAATTATCAGAAGAGAAGAAACAACCAGAGGCAAAAGCCTTAACTGGAAGAAGCTGGTTGAATTACTATAAAATGGGCCTCGGTCAGACATGTCAAACTCGCAACGTCACGTGATGTCGCGCGATGTATCGGAGCTTTTTCGCCATTGCCGGCAATGGGGTGGGCGCGGCTCCGGTATGATGAAACCAGCCCATGGGCCGGCAGTTTGACACCGCCTAGGACAATTTTGTCATGCAAAAGCAAGGAAGTCATTCAAAGAGGCTTGACTAAAACATGGTTTCCTTTTTAGTCTGCTTTTTCTTAATTTAGGAAGACTTTCCTTCTTAATTCCCAGATTGCTACTGAATTCTAGACAGTAAACTGGAAAGGATGTTTTTTTTTCATTTACTCACCATATCTGCTGAGTGATTTTGTGAAAGTAGAAGAATTGGAAATGTTGTAGGCAGAGTTCTGCTTGGGCACCAGTGCCACAGACGAACCATCTGTTACCTGTAGAGAGAGAGTATTACCAAAATTAAGACTGAAGACATTCAGATCCACAACCTCCATCTCTCTCTCTCCAACCAACACTGAGCTCCCTATTGAAGGTAGCTGAAATAACAAGTTTAACTCCCTATTCGGTGGATTCTCAGAGCCCCTTAGAAAATTTGAGAAGATGGACACCACGTTCTCTCATAATGTAAACACAAACCTAAGAAAGCTTTCCTTTTCTTCTCAATAAAAAGCCATTTTCCATTCCTTAGGATTCCCAGATCTAACCTGAGTTTTATCTCCTTCAAAATCTGCCGGCACAAAAAAAAAAATAGAAAGCTTTTCAGCTTTGTCTTATTTTTCTTATTTCATTCTTGCTTGGTTAGAGCATATTTATTCAATTGTTTGTAGTGGACAGATCAAAGACAAAGCACACAGAAGAGCATATGGATTCTTCGAGGCCTTGTTGGGAAGGATACAGAGAAAGAGAACAATCTTGCACAAAATTTTAATGCTTCTTTTGTTAAACTTAAGAGTTAGAAGCTTTCTTTTCATTCGCTACAAATGTGTTTCTAAGATGTATAATTTAGTATTCTTGCTTGCTTTTCTTCTTACAAACATTACCAGGCTAGGTAACATCATCTGTGTACTGATGTTGTCTAGCCTGATAATGAAATGTCTGCAAGAAGAAAAGCAAACTCAGAGGACACCAAAAACCTAACAATACAATCCTGAGCTACATACATTCTCCATTATTTAAGACTCATCACATGTACACAGAATCTAGCCTGGACTTTCATCCTATTATCTCCTGCCAATACTAATTCAATAGTAAAATAAATAACAAGAGCTGTTTGCCATATACATCTCTCAAATATAAGATAAACATAACCATCTTGTATTCATATGCCAGGTTTCTTTTGCTACCACTATGGCAAAAAGTCAAGGACAACCACACCTGGTAATGAGCTAGAGTGTTGAGCCTTTTCCAGTCATTGTCGATCTTTGTGGTGACATCTTCATCTTGAAGAATTATCCGAGCCATCCTGCCCTGCCGCCACTCTGCACCGATGGAAGAGAAGGGCATGGGGTCACTGGGGATCGTGCTCACTTTGGACAGATCACAGAATGAAAGGCATGGAGAGCATGTGAATGAGGCATGGCGCAAGCCATTTTAAAAAGCCACACCCCATCTAAACCCCATTATGGTCTTATTGTAATTAGAAACAATTATGCTAGGAAAATCTGTTGGGGATCTAATGCCATTTTCTTCTTAGTGACTTGGGCCTCCCACTCCTAGGAAGAAAGCAATGGCAAATCAACTCTGAAGTGATTGCCAAGAAAACTGTGGTTGATGGAAGTGAAAGACTGACTCAAAGACAACCCCCCCGCTCACTCCACAAAACTTCAAATTATTCAACTTCACAACCCATTTGGGGAATGTTCAAAAATATCTCCAGCTTAAACAACAACCTTCTGCTTTCAATTCTTGTGAGCCTTACATATTCAGTGATCCATAAACATTGTTATCTCAACTACTGGGATTGTGTCAGCTACCCCCCCCCCCCAAAATATTTGGTTCACTACTCTATTCATATGAGATTACTGTTCTCATCATCTCTCAGATATTACATCTTATTTCTTCCTGCTATCATAAAGTTGTTTAAAATGCTAACCTAGAATCAGCAGTACATCATAGTAACATTTTTCTTTGAGAATTAAAAATGACGTTCCTTGCATACCAAGTAGCATCTGTCTCAAGCAACACATTCTTTTTACCTAGTTTTGACCCACGAAGGTTTCAAGTATGAGGGCTTCATTTTTGGAGCAAAAAGTTGTTCAGGTGTGGAATACTGAATCACCTCTTGCCCATTTTTATGTCTTTAGCTTCTCCCAAAAATGGGATTATGGGCTCATTTCTGAGGGAAAGACTTTGGGGTGATAAATTTAAAAAAGGAGAATCTCTTCCCAAATTGTGACTCCTTTTTGTTAGTGGATCCAGTTTTAAATGACAAGTCTGTTTCTTCACTTGTACATTAAAGCAAAATTTATCACTGCAGTCAAGGCACCAAACAAATTTACTAAGTTTGGCTAAGCTTCCTGAAAATTCTGCTATATAATGGATCTAGTTTCTATATATTAGCCATTTCAAATTACTATTGTTCTATTCCAATTATTTCTGCTAAGAACTTGACTAAAAGGATATCATCATCATCATCATTTCTTGTATTCTATCTGATGACTGAATCACACAAAAGAACATCTATTTCTTATAGGTGATTTATCATTAACATATTTGATCCTTAATTCTCAGAGAGCTTAATTCTATTCACAGTTGCTAAGAAAATAGTAAGGGTGTGCAAAATGGAAAGAGACCTTTCCAGAGAATTCCAGAATGTTCCATTTTGTTCTGAATAATGGTGACCCTTTTCCACACAGTACTCTTGGAGATGATTCAGTAGTTTGGGAAGTAAATCCTTCTCTGGTGCAGCATCTGCCTTCTGGAACAGCATCCTTTTCACAATTTGCTCCCCCCCCATTCTACTCGCCTTCAAGAAAGCCCCCAAAACATACTCATTCTTCAGAGTTTGGCATAGGACCCTCCAGACTGAGGATGATAGTGGGGATTGTTTGTTCATTGTTTACTCTAATTTTTATATACAAATTGCTTTTTCAATTTTTCTGTGTGAAGCTGCCCAGTCATTTTTGGGGCAGCCTAGAAATTGGATGGATGGAAAAATGAATAAACAAATGATCTTCTAGAAAATCATACCAATTTGTAGCTCTTGCCTACTTACCTATTCTTCCTAATATAGAGAAGATCCATTTATCAAAATACCATCAAACAAGCAAACAAACAAATAACCAACCCTGTCTCTTTTCAGCCTCTGCCTATTCTTCTGAGTTATTAGTTTGAAATTGCCATCATGTTTGATAGTTTTAAAATGTTCCCTTAGAACATGCATGGAGATACCTATCAACAAGTACAGAAGGTTATGTGTGAAGATAGCTGTAGGAAAAAGAATGTAAAATGGCTACACATACATCCATGTGGACAAAGATAAGATAACTTCTGAAGCAGTTACATGAGCCTGGAAAAGCATGCGGCTTCTTTAATGAAGTAAAAAGAATTGTTTTGAAGCATCTTTTCTATTGGATTTTTATAGCCCTAATGTCATGATCATATGAATCCATTGTTTATCCTAACAACACAAGAAACCATTGCTCACCCAAATCCATGTCTCCTGCTTTGGGTCTTTGGGAATATGGTACTCCTTTGTACACAGCATCCAACAACTTTTCTTTCACTTGTGTGATAGTATCACAATTTAGGACCTTGACTGGAATTTCAGGAGCATTTTCATTCTCAGGATTCACACAGTTTAGTGTCTAGATAAAAGGAAAGAATAAAAAAGCTTAACTGCCTTCTTTCTTTTCAATGATTGCTTAATTTTAAACGTTTTTCATAATATGAAAACTTGGCTTTGTAGGGGACCATGCAAATTTCAAAAATAAAATAAATATAAATACATTTGTGTACAAGAATGCTCTGCATAACATTATAGCTTTCCTCAGATTAAATGGATGACAGGAAGGTCTGTCATTAAGCTGTCTTGAAACACATCACTCCACTCTAATTAGGAAGCAAATCTGAAAGAGAAGCTTGTTGCAGAATGTTCTCATTTGAAAATAATAGGGAGAATGATAGCTCAGACATAGATCACCTGGTTGCAGCAGAAAGTTCAAAGTCCAACTTTAAGCATCTCTGAATAGGAGAATCTCCAGTTTAAAAGCTTGAAGTAATAAATCAACTATACCGGAATACATGGGCCAATGACCCAATTTAATAAATGAAGTAATAAATCAACTATACCGGAATACATGGGCCAATGACCCAATTTAATAAAAGGCAGGTGTCTATATCTAGCTATGAATGATGAAAATGCTATTTAAACCTAGCATCTCTATTTGTCATGGTTCATATTCCCGGAGAAGGAAAGAGTATGCTTCTTATAGGTGGCACAAAGGAAGAGGTTTTTTCTTTTGATTTAGGAAAAGAATTAATATTAATATTAGAAAAGAACTCACATTTATACCCCACTAAGTTTTTAAAGAATGCTGTGTGTCTGTATTTTAAAGCCATTTTTTTTCTTCCAAGAATTCAGACTATATCTTTAGTACTATGGACTAATCCAATGTTTATTAAAGTGTTGCTGACTATGGAGATGGTGCTCATCTCCATTTTAAGACCATTGAGCCAGCACTGTCTGAAGATGTTTCTCCAGTCATGTGGCCAGCATGATATTGCAGAGTGCTGTTCCCTTTCCCACCATAGTGGCACCTATTTATTTACTAGCATTTGCATGCTTTCAAACTGCTAGATTTCCAGGAACTAGAGCAGTGTTTCTCAACCTTGACAATTTTAAGGCATGTGGACTTCAACTCCCAGAATTCCACAGCCAGCAATGCTGGCTGTGGAATTCTGGGAGTTGAAGTCCACATGCCTTAAAATTGTCAAGGTTGAGAAACACTGAACTAGAGTGAGAACAGGAGCTCACCCAATTGTATGGTGCTTGGGTCTCAAACCTGGGCTGCTGGCTTTCCAGTCAACAAGCCTTATGTCTTAACTACTGACCCACCATGTCAGTATAGAACTGCAATGAGATGGATGCTATAATTCAATATCTAAAGAAGCTGAAAAATAATATAACATTAAAATTCCATCAAACCTCACAATGTTAGCAGCAGTAAGCATGTTAGTTTTAATTTTAAATATGGTAAATATCAATAAATATAATCCATTCAAAAGAGAAGGTCTTTTGGGGTCCTCCATAATTTTTAAAAGTAGGAAGAGGTCCTGAGAGAAAAAAGTTTAAGAAACATTGGACTAATCTATCAAAAGTTTAGAGAATACCAATAAAATTTAGAGAATATTCTCAATTCTCATTCTATATGAGCCGAGGTGGCGCAGCAGTTAGAGTGTAGTACTGCAGGCCACTTTAGCTGACTGTGTTCAGCAGGTCAGCGGTTCAAATCTCACCGGCTCAAGGTTGACTCAGCCTTCTATCCTTCCGGGGTAGGTAAAATGAGGACCCAGATTGTTGGGGGCAATGTAAATATATATATATACAATGTAAATATATATATACACCGCTTAGAGAGTGCTTGCACTTAAAGCGGTATATAAGTCTCATAAATAAATAAATAAATATATTACCTCCTTATATTATTGGTCTTGATGAAGGAACAACTGCCTTGTTACATGTGATTTTCCCCCCTAGCAGAGTATTGTCAGAAGGGCTAACTAGAGGACTAGGAATCAATCCTAGTTAAATGCCCACTGTCACTAACCAACATTTTGTAGTCAATTTGTTGCCGGATGAGCTTGTCTTCGCTCAGGGAATAGCGGGCTTCTCCAGTGATGGCATCTATAGGCCCCTTCTCCATCTGCTGTTTGATGGCACAATACAACATGAAGAGAGGTTCACCAGCACATTCCTGAAGAATGGATGAAGAGAAAGAAGGGCAGTCAATATAATATTATGCTTCATTTCCAAAATATCTTGCATATGTATGTAGGAGAAATACAGTAGTTGCTATTCTTGTCTCTTAGAAGAATCTGCATCAAAGATTGATTTTTATTAGCCATTATTTAATGCTTGCTGCAGGATAAAAAGTATGTACACAGAAATGACTGGGATTTTGGTCAGGATTTTGTTAATTATTAATTCAATAGTGTATTGCCTCCAAAAGTAGCTCCATTTGCTTTGTTAAGGTTTCTCTTGTTAATCGCTCATCCAAAATAACAGCTGCTTATTTAGTTTAAACTTTTAAAAAGAAAAAAAATATCTTTACAGTATTTGCAATCTGCAATTCCTGACTGGACTCTCTCTCTCTCTCTCTCTCTCTGTGTGTGTGTGTGTGTGTGTGTGTGTGTGTGTGTGTGTGAGAGAGAGAGAGAGAGAGAGAGAGAGAGAGAGAGAGAGAGAGAGAGAGAGAGAGAGAGAGAGAGAGAGATCTCCAAGAAATAATTTACAAAAAGGCAGTGAAAAACTTGTATGTAAACAACAATTTCAAGAATTTCACTGAAGGTCATTGAGCTCCAAGGATTTTAACTTAATAATGGCAGACCAAGCTAGGGATTCAATATTTTAAGTTCAAATGTAGGTCCTTTCAGAAATTTTGTTTTAAGAGATTTAAGTGAAGAGCAATACACAATTATTTGAAGGCTATGATTTCTGTGGCATCTTTATAACTAAAATCCTCAGAGAATCTAGGAAGCATTATTTCTGGCAGAGACCCTATTATTTCTAGGGCTTTGAAGACGGCAGCCCAAACCTGGCCTGGTTTTGAAAGCACATTAAGAGCCTTGCTTCTGAGCCTCTTGAAGAGGCTATAGGCTTTTTAAAAAAGAGAGAAAGAAAGAAATGAAAGAGATAAGATTGATTGAATAGTCCCTGAATTTTTTGTATTAGTGTAGGTAGTATACCACACATATTGTAAGCGATACAGATTACACAAGGCATGAATAGGAAATAAGAACCGTGTTAGGACACTGGCAACAGCCCAATCAATCGTCAGCCAATGGGCACCTCTGCCAGTATTGCAGCAGCTAGAACTTGCTCCTTAATAAAAGAACAGATGCCATCAGATCATTCTCTATTTTTTCACACTGGGGTTGCAATCTCTAATTGCAAATAATTAAGGTATGCAGATTTACTTCTAGTTTGTTTCTTAAATGTTTTATTGCTAGAAGTTCAGAGACAAACTTGCATCTCCAATATCTTCTCCAAATTTCTCAACTGTGAACTTCCCCAATCCAATATCCTACATCAATCTGTATTTCAATTAAGTTCTGTACATTTCTTTTATTCCTTAAAAATATTTTTAGTCGTGCTGCTAGATTCTATATTTGATAGTAATGAGGTCAACAAGACAATCATCTGATGGTTTGAAATAAATGCTTCCTGTTGTTTCCTCTACAGTTCCCTGGTTCATTTCTCTAGGTGTCCTCTAATGTTCTTACTATATAAAGAAGCAAAGGCATAATCAACTAGTCAGCTTCCCTGCACTGATAAAAGCAACACAATTTACTCTACTGTGAAAGAGGCAACCTTATCTATGTCCTGCTTTTTAGAAGTGTAAGAAAAATAAAGTATTCGGATTTCAGTTAAAGGAAATGTGCTAGGTCACAGTGTTTAGATGAAAGAAAAAATTAGAAACATTGAAGAGTGCAGTATTACCAATAAGAGATATTTGAATAAGAGGCTGGATTGTTTATGAGAGAAAGAGTAGCAATGCAGAGATGAAAGTTATTAGGCTAAGAGGTAGAGAAATTATTCAAAGGAGGAAAGGTATTACTCCAAAACTGCTATCTGGGAAGAGAGACATGGTCTCCAACACTTATAGATTATTATAGATCAGATCTATAATGCTGATATGCAGTTAATTCTCAAAATATTTCAGTACTTTGAACAGCTCCAAATTATGATATGTTAGGAACCCAGGGACAAAATTCTACATTACCTCTATAGAGTCTCCTCTTATCCCGGTGGCCACCAGCACAATAAATTCTACTTTGGTGCAAAGTGAGCCCGCGCTCTCTGTCACCATATGCTGTTAGCATCTCGTTAGCATCTGCAGTAATTAAAGAGACAGCTGCTAACGAGCAGGAACAGGCATACATCATCCCTAGACCTTCCGACAACACGCCTGTCTTTGAAATTATGTTTCATTTGCAAACTTGGCTTCATTAAGTCTGCTTGGGGAAAAAAATGTGGGTGCTGCGCTGTTTATTAATAACTGTCTTGTCTCCTCATAATGCACAAGCCAAATGATGACTGTACGTTAACAAGCACACATGGCAATTATGATCCATCCTAGAAAAGTGCTCCCGTTTTAGTCCTTCTCTCTTCTCCTTTCAGGTGAAGCCAAAAATATAAGTTTATTCCCGGGCAGTTTTTGATTGCTCATAAGAGGTCTCTGCAAACCGCTCAGCCACAAAAATGCAACACAGGCAGAGGATAAATTGAAGATGGCTCCTTGGTCACATCTCGTTTGTCTATTGTGTTTGCCTGGCATATCATTTTCTATCACTTGCAGTCAGCTGACAAGCCATGCATTGCTTTGGGGCTGCTGTGCCTTCCTGTTTAAAGTGCTCATAAGAACAGGGGATTTCTTGTTCAAAAGCACCTCTGAGGACTAACCCATTTACCATTCTTATTCTAGAGAGGTGTGAGAGATATTATGTGTCATGCAATGGACAATAAAAATAAAAGTTCTGCAGTTCTTAAAGCTCTGGATTAACCTGTTAATTACTTTATGTTTGCTAACTGATCTTGGGCTTTTTGACTCTCAGCTGTACTTGGATATGTACCTTCATCAAACAACAGTGGAAGAACTTTTTTTTTTTTTTTTTAAGAATTATTAGATTCAGTATTTGTTTGCAGTGAGAAGTGGCAGAATTTGACACAGGTTTACTAAAGAGCAGAGTGGAGTTTCAAACTAACAGGGATTAAGCTATACCAAACCAGACCATTGCATTCACTTAGAAAGTTAATGTGAGCTCAGCAATTCAGTCTTATGCCAAATAATGTATTAGCCAGCTCTCTATTATTCATGGATAGCTATCACACACTGATTCCAGATAACCCATTTTGGCATTTGGCTATTTTGATTAGTTTTCCAACATCAAAAAACAAAATTGCTTTGTCTGTTCTAATGAAAGATATACAGACTAAACAGGACAGTTACCAGAATGTATTGCATACCTCACTAAGCCTGTCCATATCAAACTTCCCTGGAGGCCTTTAAGTTGTGTTCATGAATGACAAAACTGGTCCTGGCTTTCTGTTCCAAAGATTAAGGTTTTAAGTTCAACTATGCAGAACTGTCAGTAGCTTCACTGCCTGCTATAGTTTCCAGGGTACCAATTAGGTCATTTTAGATACTGGTTTTTATAATCATTTTAGGCATAGCTAACCACAGGCAGCCTTGGGAAAGCCCTGTTTGAAAAACTAGGTATATTTCAACAAACAAACTAAAACAATAAATAAAGTAGTCCATTCCTCTAGCCAAGCACCATGATAGGAATATAAACCAAACCAAAGGGAGCCCACTAAAGCGCAATTCACTGAGTTTCCCTCCATTTAAATTCTAAATTCTCCTTCAGGCTGCTTAGAGCTTTAAATCCCTCTTTCTTCTTCACACACACTTTCACCGCCATCATTTTGTTCAAAAGGAGGAAAAAATACCCTGACATCTTTAGGCAAGCAGCTATGTTTTATAACCACCTCAAACCTTTCTCTCTTTTCTGCACAGCAGGGATTAAGTGCTGATCAGCAACATTAGAAATAACACTTTATAACTGAAGAGGGGAGATAGCGCCCAATCCATGTCACAGAGACCACCGCTCAACTCTGTATTCAGGTATACAGCACTTTCCCCTCCTAGGGTCATAAAAAATTGCTGCTCAATCTTTTAAGGACACAGACCTAAACATCCTATTATGTCAAATGATTAGGAATGCTCCTCCAGCCAATATAGGAGAAATGTTATAAAATGAGCTCATAGTGTCAAGCTCAGTTCATCTAGAGAGGAAACAAAGACTAAAATAAAACGATGAAAAATCCTATGGACAGCTTGCTATTGTGTTTATAATGATGTCTATGCAATGCTGATGATTCCTACCCCAAATACAGTAAGTGTATTTTTTTAGGGAACAGTCACCTGCCGACCTAATGCCCTTCAGTAGCATAATAAATAGCTACATTTGCTGGGACCTCTGTGAGTTGTATTCCAATCTAAATGGAGAGCGCCACGTTGGAGAAAGAAAGAACTAACTGAAACTATAGGAAGCATTGGGATGTATGGGCTTGGCACGTCAATGCCTGTGCATATGCAGAGGCCTGAGGCAGTATAGCTAATACTCAGACAGTGTCTTATTGATGAGATTTAGCTCATCAGGCACCTAATATTGTGCATTTTTCAATGCTCCTCTTTATCTGTTTCGCTTTCCTATTCCCTAGGATGGCTCATTAGGATGCTGATAAATGGCACTAGAGGGCTCAACAAAACCACCAGTCCCAAGACTTGCTGATTTCTTAAAGCTGGCTATTCCCACCTTTTCTCCAGCAGACAGCTAAATGGGAAAAGGGGGAGAGAAGAAAAGTATGTCTTTCTCATCTCTCAGTGAGATTGAATCAATGTATTATTTTGGCAAGCTAGCTTTTTTCTGTGTCACAGGACTGGACGTGTTATTATATAGTGGTCACAAGGGACTATATAATCCCATGTGACCTACAGAGTTATACCTTTGGGAATATTTTTTTCCCATTTGATGACAGAACAAGAGTATAAATACAAATTTACATCTGTATTAAAAGTCAGAGAGCTTTTTAGAAAGCCTTCCTTGGCACTGCTGTTCTGATCATCAATCATTGTTCTCTCAAAGACATGGACCCTCCTAAAGATCAGAGCCCACTCAGCATCCCCCAGTGACACGTTTTCATGAAAATCTGCTATATACGTGAAAATATATTTTTACTTGCTTCATTTGCCTGCATAAGTTTGGGCTAAGAGATTATAAAGCAAAACCTGCTGACATTCTGCTTGCTGGCAAAGCTTTCTCTAAATATCTTAACTATACCTTCTTATTTGACAAATATTTGCCATATTCGCCCACTAAAACCTCTCAGAGGAGAAAAAAGAGAGAAAGGAAATAAGGTGGGTCTTTTTTTCTTCTTAATATATCAGAAAGCTGACTGGCAAGACAAGTTTGCCTAACATTTTAAATGAGGCATATGTTCTCAGGTTTTGTGAGATCCTTCTTACTTTTTCCTCTTTTTTACACCATAAAACCTGTAACACACTTTTATTATGTCTCTGTAAGCTCCCCCACTATTATTGCATGGATCTTTTCTCCAGACATTAGTTTATGAGTGCTGTTGTTTGCAAACATTACTCTTTTCTACTGAAAATCCTCAGGCATATAGGGTGTAAAGATGACAACAAGTGATGTATTAGGAAAGCTGGCCCATTTTTGACCAATCTGATTTTTGTTTCTTTCTTTTAACTGTCTGGTTTACTATAGCTCCCAGGAAAATAAAACTAAGTAGCAGCAACATGACTGATAGCCTCACGGTGGTGAACTGGGCTTTGGAACTTGACAACTGCAATCAGGGGAAATCTGTGAGAAATTCAGAACTTGGAAATACAGTTTACTATTTCAAGAGTTTGGTGGATCGGGATATATTTGAAAGAAGTAGGGATGTATCATTATTCTTAAAACAAAACAAAACAAAACCAGACTAGGTCTTGGAACATTCCACAAACAGTTTGAGGCATATTTTCCAGACTGCACTATATTTCATTCTCCTTCGTTTGAATCCTATGCTGAAGCACAAAATGGAATAAATTGTAAGTCATGACCGTATTTATGGTTTCTACATTTAATATACAAAGTAAGGTAACAGCACACTTGTGACAAATCTACTAGCTAAACAATTTCTCCCTTACAGGAGAAGTAAAACATACAATCAGCTTCAGACAGTACATATAACTGAGAATTTGCTGTAGTTGTACTAGCAGAGTAATATAAACAAGTTTCTGTTTTTTGTTTTTTTTTGCTAAGTTTCCATCCATCCTTTGTGCAAATACTTATGTTCCATGACTTCACCACCATGGATCAAACAAGTTAGTCCCTTAACTTGGTTCCTGCCAAATATTATACTGTGTAAAAACCCAGCCAGAATAAAATAAATTGTGTAGTTATACTGGGATAATTTAAAACAACAATATTAGAAAAAAATGTTTAAAGAGATGCAAAAGTCTGTTGTTCTTAGGTCTTTGCTAATTGTATACATTGTAGAGCAATGATATACTTTCATGGAAACAGGGTGCCCGTGGATAGAAGCAAGGAGTAGAAAGCCTGTAACCAATGGTGATTGCTTTCCATCTGCATGGCTTTCTTTATTTTAACAAGGGATGGTATTCTTCAAAAAGCAGCTTTGCTCTGTGCCATAGCAACTCACTGAGTAAAACTCTGGCAAACCCCTATTATTTAGACATCCCTTTTGATATATAGATCTGTAACTGCCATTAACCTGGGATTCCTTCTGTGCCCCAAAATTCCTTTAACACACCATGTGCTCCAAAACTATAGTTTTAAGTTCATCTGTGATACAGCAGTTCAAGGCTTTAGTTCAGGCAATATTGAAAACATTCCCTTTGCTGAAAGAATCTGAATTTTATTCATGCCTACTGATTTTGCTAGGGAAAACTGAACCAATGGAAAATATTCACAGAATAATGACATGTTAAGTGATTATCAAAAGAAAAAACACCTATCAGCTGAACTCCAATATTACCATAAGAACCCCATAAATTATTATTATATTTGGGTTCCAGAGTTTCTTGGGAGAAGGGTATGAATTCCCAGGAGGGAGGGGCTGTATTCTAGAGAAACAAGTGATAGCAAAGTTTAAATAGTTTGGTTGGGAGGAAGTTTTCAGAGTATATCTTTAATTATGCATGTTGTTTTAGTTTGACAAATTTTCTGTCTGAAGGCGATGAACAATAATGAAAACTGTTTCGAAATAACTCTACCTGTCCTTTTTGGGGTTTTTTTTGGGGGGGGGAGATGACAGAGTATTCCTTTTTTTCTTGAATTCAATATCTATTTTACCCAAATAACTTCTCAGTAGCTCTCTTCTCCATGTGTATTTAACCTGATATATCATCAATGCCTCAGATGGATTCTAAACAATCCACACCTTTGCACCAACCAATTTATTATAAGGATTAAAAAAGATGGCAAATGGAGAGTTTTTAACAAAGCAGAACCTTAGCATTGCACTTTCCCCCATTATTCCTAGTGAAAGGATTTTAAAATAATACACTGAACATTTGTGAGATTTATAACATTAGGATTAATAACAAAAGGTTTTAGTAAGGGATGAAAAACAGCTCAGTGTTGTTATTCTTATTTTACAGAAAATGAAATCTCAACTGGACTTAATGTAGTACCAGCCCTCCAAACTCTGAGGGGTGAATTCTTGATTCACAACATATTATACACTGTCAACCCCCAACAGATAAAAGATTCTGAGTGCCTCAGTCTTTCTCCCTGATACTCTTAGTGTGGTTCACACAATGTAGCATACTTACCTTTAAGAACTTATACAGAAGGAATGTGAACCAGTTGGTCAGCATTTTTTCAGCCACCGACTCAGTCCTGTAAGAAAAGTAGAAAATAAATATGATGACAGGAAAATTCAGAATTCTCTGATCTCCCTTGAAATCTTAAAACTTTTATTTATCTTAAAGACTTAAACGGTCAAATTTTGAAAGGCAATAACTTTAAAACAAAAAGGAATGCTGAGATTATTATGTAAAATTAAAAGATAATCTTAATAATAGCCAATTCCAGTTTAGCTCCATTCAGCCATTCCAGTGAAAAGAAATCCTCTATAAGCTATACATTATTCGGATTAAAAAGTTCCAGTCTACCATCATCAGATCTTCAGAGTAATATTGAGTATCTGAGAGAATCCACAGAATGTTCTAATTCAGAACACAATTTATGCATCTTATCAATTCACTAGAAATAGATAGCAGAGATGAAGGAAGTCACATTTAAAAGTTTTTATTATAAATTCTACACACTTACATCCAGTTAACAATTATAAGAAAAGGCAGTTAGCTGCAGAATGAAGAAATTTAAAACTCTTTTGTATATCAATGAATTATCTCTGTTGGAAAGAACTCTGTAAAAGCCACAAATAAGGCTATTAATGTCAATGTTAATGCTATAAGACAGCAACCACTTACTTTACGTATCATGGGATGGTCTACCCAGTGGTTACTAAGAGGAATCTGCCATCCAGAATACAACACTAATCACTGAAGCGAGTATAAATATGAAATAGTAATGAAGGATGGAGGGAATTCCTCCAGTTCTCAAAATCCATCTTTGTTTCTTAGAAACAATCAAAGGACTTAAATCAATTTGCAAAACCCAGATGGGTTCTTGCCCTTTACCATTGGGGAAAAAAAAATCAAATAGAGACATCCAAAAGGGTTAAAAAGTTCATGTGGCATCAAGTGAGTTAAGAAGCTTAAGTGTTTACAACAGGGATATGAATATGTCTCTGTTGTAAACATTAAGATTAACATATTTATCAAACATTTAAACTATGCACATTTATTCAGCATGAAAAAATGCAGGTGGTTCTGATTGAAATTATTTATACTTTTTTTGACTGCTCCATCTATTAATCATCAGAACAGCTATTTCATATTCAAATGATCACGAAAGCACAAGCAACACTAATGACCTCAAGAAGGTAACCACTTCTTCATTGCTATAAGGAAACAGATAGAGAGTGTTACTGAAAATAACAAAACCACAACAATCTAAATTTCAATTCTCTAAGTCTAGAAGCTACATTGATTCTGAGTAAGTCTACACAACACAAAGGACTATCAGGCAGAAAGAAGTAGTTAACTAGTGCAGATTGTTCTGAACAGAACAGGAACGTGGAAAATGTTATTTCCTGACTACCTTCTGCCTTGACCAAATGAAGATGATGTCTCCACATTTGGCTTTCTGCTCATTGTATCTCTCTTTTGCTTTCCTCATAAAAATAGGCCTGGTATGTTGTGACGAGGGTAAGAGTGGAAATTGTTGGATTCAAACTGAAACACAAATGACCTAAGTTCTAGTTCCCAACTAGTAGATATTCTAAATAAATTCCCTTCTGGTATGCAGCCTGGATATAAGATAAAGAATGACAGCTTGCATTCAGCATGATAGAAACACTAGTGTGGAAAAAATGTGTGTCCCTCAAAAAAGTGGGAGAAGGGGAGAAGTCTGAAATATAAAACAGATAGTTCTATAAATCCAATTGTTGGAATAAACTTGGCTCTGAGTAAAAATAACAATATTCAGGTTTCTGCTGTTGTTCCGAGATGGCTTTCTGTAGTCAAGGCTTAATTACTACATGGCCATATGTTCACAGGACTACATTTTATAATACAGATTTCATAGAACATGAGTGTTAAGGCTGTAAAGGCAAAGTTTCCTCTGCAGGAAGTGATATAGGGAAAGACTATAAGATCAGGACTAGGGAAATAAACTTTATGAATGATACTATACATACATACACAAACTACATTATTTATTTATATATCAACTTTGTCTAGCTTCCCATCTCACCAAAAGCAACTCTGGGCAGCACATAAGAATAACATTTTTACATTTGCTTCTCTTCTTCAAAACTAACTGTCTCTTTCTCTTGTCTTATGATTTCTATTTTCTAGTTCTATATTAGAATGCATTGACATTTACACATACAACACGCACGCACAATATATTGCCCTGTAGCATCCTGTATTAGTAGCTAGTACCAATCAACTATAATGCTACAAGAAAGTCCCTGTCCAAAGATCTTCAAAACCTAGCTGGTACATACCAGAAGTAAAATGTTCAGACCCCAGCCTCTTTAGGGATAAGTTGATAATGAAGTTGATAGCATAAGTTTTGCTATATCTACAATACCATATAAATTCACAATGTAAGCTTACTTTACATATTATATTTAGGAGGCATATACTGTTTACAGACTTAAGAAAGGATAATATAGGAGATTATATCTAGAAGCCAGAATTCACTGAGGTTTCCTCACTGAATAAAAGAATTATTTGTCCCAATGTAATAGTATAAGAAACGGTACCAAGTTTCAAAAGAAATCCTTTTAACATGTGCCACTATTTGGTATGTCCACTACATGATCATGTTAAAAACCTGATGGGCCAGAACCGACAGAGGAAGTAGAATACATTATTGACATGTACTCATTTTCCACCCGTGTTGAGATAATACTCAGGAAAATCTTGTTTTATTCTGAAACAATCACTTGTTAGAGGTTGAAGAAGTAATCTTGAAGAAACAATTGGGAAGGAATAACATGGCGAATAGAGGTCTGATGCACTTCTATGCAGAAAGAGGATATGTCCCTTTTGAGCCTGAAGAATAATAATGCCTTGCTCCCTACCATCAGAAACAAATACTACTGAAAGACAGTAACTTTGCAATAGACATTATTTGTGATGAACTAATCAACTCTGGATTTAGAGACATTTATAAAAACAGAATATCTATGTGACACAGTATTGGTAACCCTCACAAATTAAAAAAAAAATAAAGGAAGGAAGGAAATAAATTGAAAGAAGGAAGAAAAAGAGAGCAAATTACAAAGTGCTCTATTCTTTTTCATTGCCTTCTGTTGAGTTTAAAAAAAAACAACCCTCAAATGCTAATAAACAAGACACAGCAGTAAGCCACTAATAAACAAGACACTACAAATCATACATTTGTCCTTTCAATGCTATACAATCATTCCTATGGTCATTTCCAAAGTCTTTTAAAGCTTTTTTTCTTTTGATTTTTACATCACATTATCACGATTACACATAGAAACATATTATTTGTTTAATAAAGCATAGAATTAATGTATTTTTCCATGTATAAGACACTATTTTTTCCTGCAAACACCCTGTTCAAAAATCAGATGCATCTTATAGAAGTCCAGTGTCTTATACACGGAAAAATAATGGTAACCTCCACAGCCTAGGGCATGCCTGTGTGGGTTGACATGCTGCCTGCTGCAGGTGTCAAGCCCCTGTGGGCTTGCCACTAACAGGAGGGGGCAAGATTGTTGGCCAGCTGAACTTCTGGATTTGCCAGCTCAGCTGTTCAGCGCTCAACCGAACAGCTGATCGGCCCGGAGAGGGTGCGTCTTATAGACAGAAAAATACAGTATTGTACAGAGAATGCTAATAGAATGAATGTTGTTGAAAATAGTGTATAATGTGGAGTTCTACATTAAAGTTTTATTTAAAAGAGATGATGACACATTTAAGTGTCTGTTCTGACATTTAACAGAAATTTGATATCTTTGTCTACTGAAACAAACATTTCCTCCAATCTGTTTATCACCTTGTTTTGATATCTGACTTAGAAAGATATGAAAATATTCTAGCTTCTAAGTTCTTACCACTCATAAATGTTCAAACTCATAATTGAAATACTAAAGGCCAAAAAGACTTCCCTACTTGCTCAGTTTCATGAATATTCCATCTAATAGCGATCACTCTGTTTTTGAGAAATGCTCAGACATGGAAATAGCTATTTATGGGGCACAGTTCTAGTGCTAAATCTATGGTCAGAATTGTTGAAAAACACAAAATAAAAGGCAATACCCTGACTTAAATATCCACACAAATCCTTTTACTAAGAGAATGCTATACAAATGCTCACCTCCTCAAAAGCAATTTGGGATGGTTCTTGCTCTCCAAATTCTTTTCAATCAGATCTGAGAGAAGCTGTTTCAGCACTCCAGTGGCATATTCCATCTCACCCTGTAGTGCTGTCATAATTAAAGAGGCCACATTACCCCTGTCACGCATGGAGAAGCTACGCTGGGCCTCCAAGGTTCGAATAAAGGTTAACAGGAAGTGCTTTTTGTTCAAGAGCTGCCCAAAAAGCGTCAAAGACTTCTCCACGTTGGCCTGGACCTGAGGAAGAGAAAATATGGTTGCAGTTACCTCAGAGTATTTTAACAATACAGAGAGATTAGGAAAGTCAGGTACAGAATCAGGTGAGATTTTGGGCATGAAATAGAATCATGGGGTTTAGCCAACAAATAAATCACTTTTTAATGTTTGTTTCTAATTATATGTGAATATGTCTTGTCTTTGTAGGAGTTTCATTCCAAACCTCATAATTTAGTGCATACAACAAGAATATGAAATCCTTTAAATCCTTTGCAGCTATGTCTTCCCAGGACTCAGTGAATCCCCCCCCTTTTTAAATACTTCATTATTTAAGAAGTTCACACTGTGTACATATAACAGTTTCTCCCTTAATGTTGTTAATTCGTTAAAAGCAGCTATTCTAGAAATTCACTTATTGAACAGATATTTTCAAAGACTGCATACATGAAATATATGTAATTTACAATTTTACTTGTAAGATTTATTTCAAATTTTCTCCAAATTTTGAGACCATGAATCAACTGATCTTGTTTGCAAATAATATTGGAATAGATCTCTCTTTTGTCTGGTTATTGCTCAGTCCACTGAGCCTGGGCATTTGTTCATGGACAAAACACAAACATTCAGGAAAGTTTCAGTAAAAATGATAATTTGAGTGCTGGAAAACATCAGAATTCCTTTCTGTCCTGTTTTTTAATGCATTTGTACACTTGTGTGCATACAAAATGTGAATAATAAAAACAGGTAACCCAGGGCATGGATATCAGTTTGGAGAGTCATTTAATAATGCTTAAATTCAGAAGTTTTCTCTACTTTTTCCATCTTTTTCTCCTATTGCTCCAAATCTGACTCAAATTCTAGCCCATCCATTCGCTAAACATAATATTGAAAGAAAATGATATGCTCACAGTTCTCTTGTCCTGTCTGTTATCACATCAAATTTATTGAAACAAACGAAGCTACTGTCATACCAATCTGAGCCTATGGAACTGAAGTAGCAAAATTCAATAGCAGAAGAGAAGACTGATCCAGATAAGCAGTTTATGAAGGTTGTATTGGTGTTTCCCATGTAATGACAGCAATTGGGCCAGCAATTCCATCACTAAGTAGTCGTTAAGTGAAACATCATGTGACCATACCTGTGTTATGACATTGCTTCAACTGCAAATACTAAGAAAATCATCTGCAGTCATTAAGTGTGACATCAGATGATTGGGACTTGTGTGTTACTGTCAGCTTCCCAGCTTCCCTCTGACTTTGTTGGAAGCTGTCTGTGAAGGTCGCAAATGACAATTACATGACTGTGGGACACTGCAACTGTCATAAATGTGTGCTGGTTGCCAGGCACCCAAATTGCAATTATGTAACTATATGAGGATGCTGTAATTATCATAAGTTCAAGGACTGGCCATAAACCTATTTCTTCAGCACTGTCATGAGTTGAACGGCTACTAAACAGGACAATTGTATCTATATTTGGTTTTATACAGAGATCAATTCAAGGAAGAGGTCTGAGTGCAGCCATAGACCAATTTATTATTAAAATACTGTATTTTCATAGGCATTGCAGATTCCTTGCAGTGTAATCAGTGTATAAACAGAGGCATAGAATGAAGATCACATGAAGTATTAGTACCGCTTTATAAAACCCTAGTAAGACCACACCTGGAATATTGCAGCCAAGTTTGGTCACCATATCACAAAAAAAGATGATCAAAGGCCTGCGGGACTTGGGTTTGGCTAGTCTAAAGAAAAGAAGAAATAGGGGAGACATAATAGCAGTATTGCAGTATTTGAGGGACTGCCACAAAGAAGAGGGGGTCATGTTATTCACTAGAGCAATGGTTCTCAACCTTTTTAATGCCACGACCCCCAACTGGTAGTAAGTCGAGGACTACCCAACCGGTAGTAAGTCTAGGACTACTCAACCGGTCATAAGTTGAGGACTTTCCCTGCCCGGGAGTGCCGCGCATCCGTGGTGCTGCCCCCTGCGCTGGCCGAGGCATAGCTGGCAAGGGACAGCGACGGCGCAGGGTGACCACCGGCTGGGCCACCAGCTGGCCCAGCCCAAGGGAGGTAAGGCACCCGCCGGGCCCTATGCGTGCCAGCAACCCTCCCTGCGCCCGCCGGCCTCCCACCTCCCAACCCTGGCCCTCTTTTACTCACATTTTTAGTAGTTGCTCAGCAGGGAGGGGTGGAAACTTCCAGACAGCTCACCTTCTCTGCAGACAACTTGCAGCACTGTTTGCAGAATGGGACTTTTGGCAAGCTCTGCAGGGCAGAGACAGCCTGGACAATTCCTATTAGCTTTTGAAAGCCAATAGAATTAGACTCTATTCAAGAGAGTCTATTCTATTGGCTTTCAAAAGCCAATAGAATAAAAGGGTGTAGCACAGCTAAGGAAAAGGGGAAAAAATGGCGGACTGCGTTGTTTGGCGACCCCTGTGAAATGGTCGTTCGACCCCAAATGGGGTCCCGACCCACAGATTGAGAACCGCTGCACTAGAGCATCAGAGGGCAGGATGAGAAACAATGGTTGAAAACTGATCAGAGAGAGAAGTAGCCCGGAATTAAGGAGAAACTTCTTAACAGTGAGGGAAATTAAGCAGTGGAACAGTTTGCCTTCAGAAATTGTAGGCACTCCATCACTGGAGGTTTTTAAGAAGAGACACTAGACAATCACCTATCTGAGATGGTATAGGTCACAGGTCGGCAACCTGCAGCTCTGGAGCCACATGTGGCTCTTTAAGCCTTCCCCTAAGATTCCCAGTCTCCTCTGCCATTTGCAGAGACAGAGAGAGAGACAGAGAGAGGCACCTGCCTTCCCTTTTCTCTCTCTCTCTCTCTCTCTGTGTTTGTGTGTAAAAAAGAGAGTGGACTCATGGTGTTCTTCGAGGAGCTGAAAAGCTTATTGGGCGGAGCTCCTCCCTTTGCTGAATCTCTGCAGGAAGCAGGAAACAGGAAGGGCAGGAGAGAGCTAGCTAGCCCAGCTATGCTGACTCAGGAATTCTGGGAGTTGAAGTCCATGAGTCATAAAAGAGCCGAGGTTGCCTACCCCTGAGCTTGTTGGAGAACAGCTTGAAGCGTATGTATGTATGTATGTATGTATGTATAAAAATAATGCTAAAAATCAAAGAGTGATTCCTGGGTACATACATTTCGATAGATAAAAAGGACGATCATCAGGAAATAAAACAACAAAGTTTTAATAAAATAACCAAGCTGCATTTATAAGCAAGTTTCCCATTGACTAGTTTACACCCTGGCGATGATGGCAGATTCTGAGCCATCGAAAGCTTGGTTATTTTATTAAAACTTTGTTGTTTTATTTCCTGGTGATCGCCCTTTTTATCTATCGAAATACGTATATATATATATATATATATATATATATATATATATATATATATATATATATATATATATATATATATATGCGGCTCCCAGTGTTTTGTTTCCAGTGGGAAACGGGTCCAAGTGGCTCTTTGAGTGTTTTAGGTTGCCTACCTCTGGTATAGGTTCTCCTGCTTGAGCAGGGGACTGGACTAGAAGGTCTCTTCCAGATTCTGTTCTATTCTATTCTATTCTATTCTATTCTATTCTATTCTATTCTATTCTCTTTTCTACTCTACTCTCTATTTTGCTAGGATCAAAGAAAATATAGAATTTATTAATGATATCTGATCAACATCAGCATATTTGTCACAGTAACTTTAAAGCTAGGAACATACAGAAAAAAAGTAACTACGGTACTTTATAAAAAAATGATAACTCTTCTTTTAACATTTACAATACATTATTTGCAGTGTACAATTTTCAAGAAACTACATGATTTTTTTTAATCCCTTACCTTTTATATTTACATACCATCAGATTTTAAAATTTTATCCAACAAGAATTCTGCCTCCATCCCTAAATGGGAATTGCCAAAACATTTGATTTGACCCAGGACTAATTGCCAGATTCCTCCTGGCTAAATCTGAGCATAGCAAACAACCCAAAGGAAATTTTGATCTTTTGACTTTCTATACGTGACTGTAAATGTTATCGTCTGTCCCTGAGATTTAGCAATGGAATTGGGTCATATGGTCCATCTAAGCATGAAACAGAAAATAAATTACTAAATATGACCAGGACATCTGATCTATAGGGACTCAAATGGAGAAATATTTCTATTTAGCTACCGTTGTGCTCTACCTGGTGCCTCAGTTCCATACTTATACGCAGGAAGCATCTGAACAGAGGCAGGAAAGACCTTGTAGCATTTGAGGCTGCTGACACACTGTTCAATCTCCATATTTTTCCAGGCAAACAGGTAATTAAAACTAAAGACATTCAAGACAAATACCCACCTTCCTCTTGTAAAATAAGTATTTCAGGCAAAGGTTTTTCATTCATCAGTATAAAGCAAAGAGCTTTATACTGATGGCAAAATATGAATAATAAATGAAAATTAAATAGATTTATATCTCATGTTCATTAATACAGCTCTTGTGGCTATCAAAAGCACAGGGCAAGTACTGTATATCTCCTGAATAGTATATAGAATATGGATTACACATTTGTACTGGTATTTCTTAAATATAAATTTGTACATATGAAAATATTATCTTCAATCAAGATTGTTCACCAGCAATTACCAACGGTTATTACTGCCAACCAATTGCTTGCAATTGAGGATACAGAGATTTGCTTAATGGTCAAGAAAATTGCATGAAAATGTAAGATCCAATTGGCAATAGTTTGATAATTTGAGGACAATTCAAATATTTTTTAAAAATTAGGATTTCAGATTGGACAAAGCAGTTGTACTTCTAGGGAATTTTCGGCAAGCCCTTCCCCTGCATTTACCTTAAGAAGTGAGATTCAGAACCCAAATAAAGGATACCTGCAAGACAATCTCTTCTTCTGAATGTTCAACTTGCTCCTCAAAATCTAAGCTCTCCTAGGGATGAGTATTAGATTCAGACCAAGCCTGACTCCTGTCCCAAATGGGACACACTTCAGAGATTCTACTCTCT